TTATTTCACAATAAAATCCTGAGATTGAATTTGCATATATATTTTAATCAATTTTTTCCAACAAATCAAAGAGAGAGAGGTATCAAAAAATAGTTTGCGTGGTTTCAAAGGATTCTGCGCAGTTTTTCGCAGAACATACACTATTATAACATTACCTTATTGCGCTTCGCTTCGGATCGCATTTCAGCTTCGCGATGCACCGTATCGTTGAATGACAGCGTATCGCGTATCGTTGACAGCGCATTAAAGTTCCAGAGTTAATGACACGTTCGCGGGACGGGAGAGCGCGCAATCAGCTGATCGAGCCAGCTACCGATCATTGCGCCAGTCGACAGGTATGTCGCACATTGTTATTGAGGCCTCGCTCTATCATTATCGATACTCGGATACCGCTCGTAAATATATTATCCGCTCTTCTTTCGTCATTACGAACATAGATGTATAATGTTCACGGTAGCTGCAAATTGCACGGTGACAGCGGGAATGCGTTTGCTCCGGCGTTCTCGCCACGCTATTTAAGCTAAGTAGATCATTAGTCGCGCGTCCCGTTATCGTGTGTGATGAGTCACGTCACGAAGGGATAGACTTTTTTTATTACTTACGACAAATCGACTGCGACATTCCACACGCGCATGCTTAGTTAGCCTAATGCACCTCGTTCGCTACTTGTCACAGAAAGACTGTCTAATTCGGACAAATATGAGAGCATCGAGTGTAGGGATGATAAAAGACAATGCTTAGGATTTTTTATCTCGAGGATTATCAGATTTAAAAAATTCATAAAGAATTAATGTAAAGAATAATCGATATAACTTCTATTATATGTATATAATATAACAAAAAAATATAAAATAAATATGTAATATAATATATAAGAAGCGTGCACATATAAATATAAAATAAAGACCTCGTCTTAAAATAATATGTGGTAAATATGAGATAATATTCACTATAAAAACTTGTCTTGCTTTCTCAAGTCAAACATGCTGAGTTTTCATCGACGATCTAACTTTAAACTTAATTAGATAATAATAAACCGGTTTACCTAGATTACATTACACTCTTATCTATATGATCGTAGAGGAAATAAAGAAATCGTGTTATGTTAGATGTACGTGAACGTTGATCAGGTCCGGAGGAATCTAGTCGTTCCTCAGGCATCTGTCAGGCGAAATAAGTCGAGGCAAGAGAGAGAGCACGTGGCTAAGAGGACATGAGGAAGTCCGGTCTGATAGGCCGAGATGACGTTAGGATTCAGCAGCATTCGGCTCGTTAACTTTGTCCAGGATGACGACGACGACGTCGTCGTCGTCGTCGCCAACGCTTAACGGTTTACGTTACGCGTTCTTTTTGTTTTGGATTCCGCAAGCTGTCAGCCATCCCGACTGGTGCAAACGCCATAATTTCCATTTCCCAGTGGCCTTGATAGACCCTCTGGCACAAGTGATCGGACTGCATTCCAACAGCAGCCGAGGAACGTCCGCCCGTCGACGGGCGTCCGCGATTAACTACAATAGCGTGGCGAGAAACGCGAGCGAAACTGTATCGATCCCCTCAATATTTTGCGGTCAACATAATCGTATGAATTTGCAATTAAAAGCATATAAAGCAATGGTTCTTAACCGGAACATTAATGTTCCGCGAAAGTGTTACACAAGTGTTCCACGAAATTATGAAAGCACCTATACATAGAAAAAACTAGTATAATTTTTTTTTAATTTTATGAATATTATTTTTTAAATTTAAATTTAAATTTTTTTACATAATTTGTACTGTATAATTTTTAATAAGAAATATGTTGATGCATATTATTGCCTTTATAATCTTAATGATTTTGATGTTCCGCATATTGTTTCACGATTACCATAATTTTCAGGATTTTAAGAGAAAATTCTCCCTTTGTACTATGAAGGTAATCTATATATACAAACACACACACATTAGAAAGAATGTAAATCTTTAGATTATTTAATACATTGAGCCCTTTTACTTCGAACGGATCTTGCCTTCTGTCATCACGATCCAGTTGCTACAAAAAAAAAGTAATCCACTCTGAGAAGGAAGCGTTTTACAAGAGTACCTTGTTAATCTACCATACGTGCCTCCTATGCATGTACGAGCGTGACACCCACAATTATATCATCAGAGCTTACATCCGCGAGCGTTAAAGCGACCATTAAAAACGCATCGAGTATCATCGCAGAATTATTAGCGATCGACAAACATATAAAGACGCTCGATGATCTAACGCGTTACTTTCACCATCATCTCGCATCGACAAGAGATTATTAATAATGGCCCGAGACCCGAGCTGTCGCTGCCGATTGGGAGCGTAACAAATGTTGCGTTATCAATAAGACACCCAATTACGACTGAATTAACCGTAATGTAGTGACACACACGGCAATCGGTTCTTGCTACCGGCTGCTCTACGAGTATTCATTTCACCGAGACACCAAGAGATTCATGGCCGGAATAATTGAACCACTATTTTCGGAATCTTCTTCGGTCTGTCAGGGCTAAATTGGAATTTATTATATTTATTATCTCTACAACGCACGCACACATATTTTATTCTCTAGCTGATTCCTTGCTATTCGATTACCAGGTTCCTTTGCATGTCAATAAATTTAATTTTATTCCAGCCGTGACATACAGGATGTTTCTCAAACATATGTCAAAATATATTCAAGGGATTATTCTTTGGGTTATTTTAGGAAAATTTATATACCTGATAATTTTTTTGAAAATCGCTTCGTTTCTTGAAGATACAGGAGGAACAATTTACAAGAAACAAAATATTTTTATTGCATAAATATTACATGTAATAAATATAACTTCTTATTGATTGGTTTATTGGAATATCCTATACTGAACAAAATTATTAAATTAATTAATATTTGTTTTAACACTGACTTATTAATCATTTATTTGTAACAAATAAATATTTATCTGTGTTGAAAAGGAATTTCTTATATCAAATAAATATTTTTCACATCAAATCAATATTATTAGTTTCAAATAAATGATTTATCAGGCAGTATTGAAATAAATATTTATTCGAATTCGATAAATCTTTTTTCAATGTAGGAGTTTTCCGTATTAAATTTTCGAAGAATTATCAGAATATAAATTTTCATAAAATGACCCGCAAGGAACCACTCCTTGAATTTTTGACATATATTTAAGAGACACCCTGTATATGCTACGAATCGAGAAATATCGTTCCGCCTGTGATTTGGACCTTAGAGAGATTTAATGTATAACGGCCAGGTTCATTACTTTAAATAATTACGAGACCACGAGGGTCATAAAACACGAAAGCAGGTCACGGGCAGAAAAAAAGGGTGTCAAAAAAGTTTCACCGTCCGTTCCGCATGCGTTCCTCTTCGATCGCGCGGAATAAAATGCAATTATTAAATCGCACCGCGGTTGTAATTCATTACACGGCGCGGTCGCATAATTACTTCCGCCGCAGTCGAGTCCGCTCTCAACGGGATTTTACGCGCTTCAAAATTAATGATCCGAAATAAATTTCATAACCGTCCGTGACTTAAATAAAATTAAAAGGAATCCCGCGAAGAGAGTAGTACCGATATTTGTATTCGTTTCTCTTCGACCGCGTGCAAATGTAATATATTGCCGCTAAAATTTCACGCCTTATAATTATATACAATGCGAATGTGTTTCGAGATTTTTTTTATTTTAATTTTTGATACTGTGAAATATTTATTTTATTAATTTTTAATATTCGAAAATTATTAGACTAAAATGATAACATTTGACGTTTCATCATCCGTACATCGAGATTTTTAGTTTAATCTTTGATATTCATAAATTAATTTTTTATTATAAAATTAAGTTTAAGTTATTTGATATTAAAAAATTAATAAGCTAAAATAATAACTTCAAAGTTACATCGAATTTTTTATTAATTTTGATATTTACAAATTAATTTTATTAAAAATTAATAAATTAATTTAATAACACGTTTTGTAATAACATTTTCTACATTTAAAAATAAATAAGTTAAAATGATAATTTCGAGGTTTGATCATCCGTATAACGAGAAATGATAATTTGCGGAAGAATGAGATAAGCACACATAATTCGAGTTACAAACAAAACGGCAAACGCATCTACCTTTTCTTTTTCAGATCTGTAAAATTACACCATTCTCGGTGGCAGTTTACAATTTTGCCGGTACAAGGCAGCGCCTTATTACTCTCGATTACTCAGAATCCATCGTGATTATGGCTACGTGCCTTTTCTATTCTTACAAATTACTCATCCGTTATTAAGACCTGTCATTTACGCAACCTGCGTCGAGCATTCCGCCGACGTAGGTATATTGGACGTGCAATAGATCGGAATGCAAATAATTATGCGAACGGCATGTCGCATAAATTACACGGGCGCATTATTCATTTGCTGATCGAGTACCGCAAAAAAAAACTTGCGAGGTCTTGCCGCATAGCGTTCTAAGTGGAGAAACTTAGAATTTACTGTATGTTAATGTAGGCGTTGTGAGAGAGAGAGAGAGAGAGAGAGAGAAGTCGAAGAGAGGAAAGGTACACTTTGAAAATTTCGCAAACAGTCTTCTCTTCTTTCTTATGTTTGAAAAAGATTTTAGCTTCATACTAAATATGTGCACAAAACATAATTGTATTAGCTTCTATAAAAGAACCAATATTATTGTTCGGTTATCGCAATTGTTAGAATATTATCTCATATCAAAATATCTTTTTACACAAAAATTTACACCATAGAATTATTCGCAAAAAAAAGAATTAGCCACCATAGCTGAATTTTAGAGCTGTTCCTATACTACACTTGAAATTTAGTTATCATGCCTAAATTTTAGCTATGAGAGCTAACATTTTTTTAGTTGTAGAATTCTCCATTAAACTATAGCTAAAAATATTAGTTAGTGGTAATTAATTTTGTTCCTCTTTTTAATGCTTTCCTCAGCATCTCAAGAATTACATTATCATTTTCAGGTTCGTTTGGAGAGTATTGGTGCAGAAGATATTGTGGACGGAAATCCTAGATTGATCCTTGGTCTCATTTGGACCATTATTCTGAGATTCCAAATACAAGAGATCGAGATCGATGTGGACGAAGAGAACGACAGCAGCGAGAAGAAGTCTGCCAAAGATGCTCTGCTACTCTGGTGCCAGAGAAAAACAAATGGCTATCCCGGTGTCAACATTCAAGACTTTACCGGTGAGTCGAGTTTTCTTGCATATGATTACGCGGCATGAATATTCGATCTTTGAAAGTCGCAAAACACTTTGAGAAAATCTCGCGAGATTCTTGAATTTAAAAAAATATTTATTACAGTTTTACAAATACCGCATATTTGTCTACAAATTTTATTCTGCATTTTTGAATATTTGACAATTCGGCAAATATGTCTGAGTAATATTTTACATTTCTCTTTTTAAATATAATATGCAATATAATAAAATAAAATTATATATACGATATCTTAAAATCTACGGAACCACCTGTTAATAAAAGATTCCTAAGATTATTTGGAGACTATTTTTCTTTAGTGAAAATGTCGACGAAGGTCATCATTTTTGCCATCATGTATCTTTGTATCAAAGTTTTAAATTAAAATTCTATAAGTTAATATATAAATATATTATAAAGTAAACTAAAATTAACTTGAAGATTTTGTTAATATTTTATTTTCACGAGGCTTAATTTGCGAAATATCTTTAATTTTCAATCTCTTATAACTTGAAAATTATTAGTGCATCGACATTTTTACTGAGGAATAATAATTTCCAAATGATCCTAAGAATCTGCCATTATAGAAATTGAAAGTATAAGAAAAATTCAAAATATATAATATTCTAAATTTTATACAAACAGGGTCCTGGAGAAGCGGTCTTGGTTTCAATGCTCTCATACATGCTCATCGACCAGACTTGGTCAATTGGTCGGAATTGCAGCAAAACAAGAACATCGATAATCTCAATTGTGCCTTCGACGTTGCCAATTCAGAACTCGGCATACCGCGACTCTTGGATGCGGAAGATGTGGACACGGCCAGACCCGATGAGAAATCCATTATCACTTATGTTGCTTCTTATTACCACACGTTCGCCAGAATGAAGAACGAGATAAAGAGCGGCAAGAGGATAGCGAATGTACGGTCACTTTCAAACTTTATTCAATTTATGTATGGAAAGAATTTATGAAACAAAATATATTTTTAACATTTTAAGATTTGATACATATTTCTCTCTGATAATTTTGTTTAAAATTTTTATAAAAATCAGAGAATATATATGTATCTAGAAATTCCCATCATATTTTATATAAATTTAAGAAAGTATCTTATAGTTTCTAAAACATATCTTTTATCTCTGCAAAAAAATGTGTCAGAATTTAAATATTCGCATTTCAGAATTAAAATGTTTCGGAAAGAACTAGAACAAAATTCAGGAATTCCTAAGTGTTCATTAAATTAAATTGAATTTTATATTTGTACAGATCGTTGGCCAAATGATGGATGCAGACAAGATGAAGGTTCACTACGAGAAGTTAACGACCGACCTTCTCGAGTGGATCAAAATGAAGATCGAGGTCCTGGAAAATCGCAGTTTCCCGAACTCGCTCGAAGGTATCCAACGGGAGCTTTTAGCGTTCAAACAATATCGCACCGTAGAGAAGCCGCCGAAGTACAAGGAACGATCCGAAATAGAAGCATTGTATTTTCACATAAACACCCGGTTAAAATCTCTGAACCAGCCAGCGTTCACTCCGCAGGAAGGCCAGTTGATTCACGACATCGAGAGAAATTGGGTGGAGTTAGAGAGAGCAGAACACCGTCGCGAGGTTGCTCTGAGAATCGAGCTGTTGCGACAAGAGAGGCTCGAGCAATTAAATTATAAGTTCGAGCGAAAGAGCGTACTCAGGGAAGGCTATCTGAAGGAGATGATCCAGGTGTTGACGGATCCTCGATACGGCAGCAATTACGCGCAAGTGGACGCGACGGTGAAGAAACACGAGGCCATCAGTGCCGACATTGTGGCGCGCGAGGAACGTTTTCACGATCTAACGAATATGTCCGAGGAGCTTGTGCGAGAGAACTATCATGGCCTCGAGAGAGTCCGTAGTAGAGAACAAGAGGTGTTGCAGAGATGGAAAGAGCTGCTGGCTTTACTAGATCATCACAAATCCAATCTAGTCGCGCTGAGCTCCTTGATGAGTCTGATGAGAGAGATCGATACGACTCTAGCCTCAATCCAGGAGCTTCAACTGAACTTCCAGAGTACCGACGTAGGTCCGCATTTACTAGGAGTTGAAGATCTTTTACAAAAGCACAGTTTGCAGGAGCTTCAAGTAACGGCTCTGGGCGAAAGCCAGAGGCGACTCGGTAGACAGGCTGCTCAACATATTACGGCACAGCCGCAAAGTAAGGAAGTGCCACTGTTGCAGCAAAAACTGGAATTGCTAAATCGCACCTACGACGAGCTTATGGAGAACAGTAAAGAGCGCAAGGCTAGATTGGAGGATGCTCGAAACTTTTTTCACTTTCTTCAAGATCACGAGGACGAGGAGTCGTGGCTAGTAGAGAAGCAACGAATTTGCAAGGCTGGCATCTCCGCGAAAGATCTACGAGCCGTGATATCGTTACAGCAAAAGCATAAGGCCCTGCAGGACGAGATGAAGGTGCGCAGGCCGAAATCCGAGCAGCTCTGTGACGCAGGCAGGAAATTAATAACCGACAATCATCCGTCTGCACTGGAAATACAAAATCGAATAGACTCGTTGCAAGAACATTGGAGAGTCTTGGAAGAATTGGCGGCGTTGCGGAAGAAGCAGCTGGACGACGCGGCCGAAGCGTTTCAGTTTTACGCCGACGCGAACGAGGCGGATTCGTGGATGAATGAGAAAATGGCGTTAGTCGCTTCCGAGGACTACGGAGTGGACGAGCCAAGTGCTCAGGCCTTATTACAGAGGCACAAGGATCTGGAAGGCGAATTGAATGCTTACAGAGGTGACGTCCAGTCTCTGAATACCCAGGCGGAGAAACTTATCAAATCCGGCATTTCTACTTTAGAATTAACCGCCGATCCGGAACCGGTTGCCGAATTGGAACAAGAAGAGTGGAGCAAGGAGATCAGATTGGTGCCGCAAGATGAATGGGTGGACGAGGTAATTGAACGAATGGAACCGAGAATTGTTCATGAAGATAGAATGGTGCCGCAAGTGAAGAGTTTATATGCGTTCAACGGCCAAGATATACATATTGTGAAGGGTGAGGTAATGTTTCTGTTGAATAAAACAAATCACGATTGGTGGAGCGTTAGAAAAGCCGACGGCACGGATGGATTCGTGCCTACCAACTACGTTCGCGAGATTGAGCCAAAGATCGTACAAGTGCAGGTACGTAAACTCGAGAAAATTAAAACGACACAACGTGTGAAGAAGACGAAGATGGTTAAGCAGGTGGTTCCAGTTCGACGATTAAAATCCATTAAATCTACCGTGAAACCGATCAAGCGAAAGACGATGAGCGATGGCGACAGCGTGGAGAAACGACAGAAGAAGATCAACGATACTTATAGCGAGCTGCAGGAGTTTGCTGTGAAACGTCACGCATTACTGGAGGACGCTATCAGGCTCTATGGCTTTTATCGGGAGTGCGACGACTTTGAAAAATGGATAAAAGACAAAGAGAAGATGCTGAGGGTCGAGGATCCTCACGATAATGTCGAGACAGCGAGAAGAAAGTATGAAAAATTCTTAACGGACTTGTCGGCTTCCGGAAAACGAGTGGAGGCGATAGATGCGGCGGTTGACGAATTTGTTCGTCAAGGCCACAGTCAACTTGACAAGGTCAAGACCAGACAGAGGCACATTCATCAGCTGTGGGATCATCTAAACTGGCTGAAAACGCAGAAAGAGAAGAGTTTGGAGGGTGCGTCAAGCGTCGAATTATTTAACAGAACCTGCGGTGAGGCTCACGATTGGATGTTGGAAAAAATTACTCAGCTGGACACAGCCGAACTCGGACCTGATTTGAAGACTGTACAAGCTCTGCAGAGAAGGCATCAACAATTAGAACGAGAATTAGCACCAGTCGAAGAAAAGGTAAAATATCTGGAGCATTTTTTAGAATAATAAAAATAATAGAGAGAATATTTATATTTCAATTCTTATAAATTAATATGCTTACAGGTACGAAAAGTAAACTTGTTGGGCAATAGTGTCAAACATTCGTATCCGCACGAATGTAACAACGTGAATGTGAGACAAGACGAAATCGAGGAACTCTGGAATAAAGTCCAAACGAAGGCCAAAGATCGACGATCTCGTTTGCAAGACGCAGTCGGTCAACAAATATTTATGAATAGCTCGAAGAACCTGATTAACTGGGCTACAGATGTACAGGAGACGATGAAGGCCGAGGAACCAGTCAGAGATGTAGCCACGGCCGAGCAGCTCAAGAAGCAGCATATGGAGCTCGGAGAAGAAATACGAACCAAAGAAGACGAGTAATACATAATTTTATATATATTTTTATATATTCTAATTTAATTTAGAAAAATTTCTATAAATAAAAAATATTATATAAATTATATATAATTAATATATCTAAATATATATTATAAATATATATATATATATAATTCATATATGCAATAATATATTACATATATAATTAATAATTAAATTATTTAAAAATATATTGAATTTATTATAAACTAGTTTTTATAAAACGATATTATTTTATCGAAAATTATTTACAGTAAATAATGATACATTGATATAATAATATTGAATAGAATTTCTTTGAACATAACTTTTATGAATTATATTTTTTGTACTTATAGATTTTGTGAAGTTGAAAACCTCGCTCGACAGCTGTTACAACGTAATCCAAATTTGACGGATGTACGCGAACGTCTGGATAAACTAAATGGATTATATCCGGCAGTATCGAACAAATGGATGACAAAAGAAGAATGGCTACGACAATGCCTGGAATTACAACAATTTAACCGAGAAGCCGATCAGATTGAAGCTACTACTAGTTCCCACGAAGCTTTCCTTGAATTCACTGAATTGGGTGAATCTTTGGACGATGTCGAGGCTCTATTGAAACAACATGAAAAATTCGAGAACACTCTGCACGCGCAAGATGACAGATTGAAGGCATTTAGCGACACCGCTGACAAATTAATTGCCCAAAATCATTACGACAAAGATTAGTAAGTATCATGCAGCAACAGTTAATGATTAGTTATAGACATATATCTACTTAAGAGTAAATATATCATACGTTATTTTTACGTCTAATGACGTCAGTTTGCTGCTTATCTTTCTTACGAATGTCTGAAGTTATAAACAAAAATATTTTAATCGTAATTTTTTAATTTAATGTTAATAAGATTTTATAAGTTTTTTTATATAAATAAAATTTCCAGCATCAACGAAAAAAGAAACCAAGTACTAGCCCGTCGTATGGCAGTGAAGGACGCTGCTCAACGTCGAAGAGCGGCCTTGAATGCGTCCGAGCATTACCAACAATTCTCAGCCGAAGTGGATGACTTGCGCGGCTGGTTAAGCGACAAGATGAAGACCGCGGCCGATGAGAGTTATCGCGATTTGAATAATCTTGAACGCAAGCTGCAGAAGCACGAAGCTTTCGAACGAGAGTTACGTGCCAACGAAGGACAGTTAAGAACAGTCAACAAAGCGGGCAAGGCGCTGATATCCGAAGAAAATTATAGATCGGACGACGTAGGAAAATCTTGAAGGATCTGAATGATCAATGGGATCGACTCGTAACACTATCGCTGGAGAAAGGTCGCAGACTGCGACAAGCCTCTTCGCAACACGGATACAATCGCACTATGGAAGACGCCAGGTTGAAACTAGAAGAGATAGAGAGCTGTTTGCAGAGTAAGCAAGTAGGCATAGATCTTCGTAGTTGCAAGGAACTGCTGAAGAAACACCAGATTCTCGAGAGCGACATGTGTCAGTGGGAGCAGAAGGTGGACGATCTCGTAGCCATGGGTCAGGAAATGGCGCATGAAGGTCATTTCGATGCGGCGAATATCCTGAAGACCAGTCAAGCCACGCAAAAAAAGTATGTGAGAGTCCTTTGTCATTATTTAAATTTAAATTATACCGTCATTTTCTCTTATCTAATAAAATTGATTTTTTTTAATGATCAAATTCATTCATTGCTGAAGTAAATATAGATATGATGATACAGATAATATACGAAATTCATATTTACAGATTCCGCAGCTTAAAGGAACCGGCTAAGAAACGTCGAGATGCATTGGAGGAGAGTTTGCGCTTCCATAAATTCGGCTTCGAGTTGGACGCAGAATTACATTGGATCAAGGATCACTTGCCGCAGGCATCCTCGACGACGCTCGGACAAAATCTACACCAGGCCCAGACTTTGCATAAGAAGCACAAGAAACTGGAAGCGGAGATCGCCGGTCATCAGCCTATGATAGATAAGACTTTGACTTCCGGACAGGCTCTTATTGATCAGATTCATCCGGAGAAAAAGAAGGTGAATTGCGAGAAATTCTTTGTCAAATAATAATTTTTTTCTCTCGTGGATTCGCATGATGATCGGACATAACACGAGATTGGAGATAAGAAATTGTGATTTTTGCACAGCTGGAGCATCTCGAAGAGTACTGGGTCCACAGAGGTAAGGTGGAAGCACTGATGCATGGAAATGTTGTCACTGATGTCTGTTGCTTTTCCGTTAAATGTTATCAATCGCGTAATTAATAAATTATTATTTTTATAGGATTTTAATTGTATTGGACCACTTGTAGCGCAGTCCCTAAAATTATATTTCTTATAATTGACTCCTGATACACGAAAACTCTTCCTATTATATTATGAAAAGTAATATCAGATGTATATACAGTAATTACATATATAAAAATTGTGTAATTAATTTTTTTATTTCGATTTAAAATCACATGTATCCAGAGTCAATTATAAAATGTTTTTTTTTATATATACCTACAGGGATATTGAACGAGTATTTTATATAATTTTTTTATTTTTACTAAAGTCTGATTTTGCAGCTTATATCTATTCAAAATTAGGAATATAATATTTATCATTAATAGAGGATTTATGTAATTCTAGTTGTAAGTGGAGCTTATTGATTTTTTCCCATAGCTTGATAAGTAAGCCTCAATAATCGTGCGGTTGAAAATGTATATGTATTGCATGCAAATATTAAATAATATTTCTGCCACAGCAACGGAACTCTGGGCAGTGTATAGATTTCATCTGCTGAAATCAAAACTTAGCTTTTAAAAACAATAATTATTGAATAAATTAATTTGTATTTGTTTTACGCAAGTAACACATTGGAAATATAATAAATTGAGCTATTATATACGACCATAAGTAATCGATTACATTGATGCGTTTAATAGATCCAAGAACTATGCGATATTTTGGATGATGCCTGGAGGGACTTGCAAGATAAAGCGGGAGAGCGTAGTAAAGCGTTGGATCTGTCTCTGAAAGCGCAAGAATTTCTCTTCGAAGCCGGTGAGATCGAGAGCTGGCTGAACGAGAAAAACGACGTGCTAAGCTCCACCGATTACGGCAGAGATCGTGATGCCGCCACAAAATTATTAACGAAACACAAGTATATATTGTAAAGCGTAACATGAAATATGACATCGATAAAACAATTCTGTTATTTTATTTATCTTCGCGGTAGGAATTTTTATAAGTTATAAATTAAAAGGCCAACTTAACGAGCTGATTTTTATATTATAATTTATATTAATTTTTATAGTTATAATTGTGTGAATATAATATTATTAATTATATATATAATTAAATTATATTATTAATTATGTACATGATATATTATCAATTATATATAATATATTATTAAATTAATTATATATTAATATTGTTTATATTATTACAACTAATTGAATAAAATATTATATGAAAAATTCTGATTTATATCTACAGGCTGTTGAACTCGAATTGGACACATACAATGGCATCGTGACAGAAATGGGTCACACCGCTTCTGCGATGATAAATTCGAAGCATCCTGATAGCAAAGCAATAGCCAACAAGCAGCAAGCGATCGTTCAACAAATGCGCGCTCTGCAGCGACTAGCTACCGTGAGGCAGCAACGTTTAATGGAGAGCATGTATCGCCATGAATATTTTCTGGAGAGCAGAGAGTTGGAGCAGTGGATCAAGGAACAAGAACAGACGGCCGCGTCGGAGGACTACGGCCAAGATTACGAGCATCTGTTACTGTTACAAGCGAAATTCAACGACTTCAAACATCGAATAGAGGCAGGCTCCGAGAGATTCAATCAGTGCGAAGAATTGGCCAGAAAACTGATCGCGAACGAAAGTCCTTACATCCAGGACATCGAAAAACGTCAAGAACAATTAGGGTAAGTTTCTGGGTTGATCAAAATTTTTATCTTTATTTCTGCTACTTTAAAACTTTCTTTATTACTTTTATAAAACATTAGTATCACCTTATTTGCACGAAATAAATTAACAAGATGACATAATTGGTATATAAATTATATATACATATATATAATATAATATTGGCATCTAAAATATCTCTTTCTCTTTCTCTCTTTTGTATCTTTTGTATATATAATTCATCTACATTAATAACGGTAACTATATTTTAATATAAAAAAATCTATTTCTATTTTTCTCGGTGTTGGGTCTCACTAATATTCTTCCTATGTACATAATCTATGCAGATCGGACGAAGACGATCCGGTATTTCAAGTAGAAAAACAACATACAGTAATGAAGTGAGTACACTTTGCTTGGTTGCGGAACTCAGATGCACAAATTATATCATACATAAAATAATTCGAAGTTTATACATATGTTTATACATATATGCTTCTGCGTGCAAATTTTTGGAACTTTGCAATTTTTATATCCCTAAACTCTGCATATTTTACTTCTTGGTTTTTCTTTCTACTTTTTAACGTCATTTTTCAATTTTATATTAAATAGAATATTTTTATAAAAATAATATAAAATTTATTTAAACTTGAATAATATTTTTTAATCAGTTTAATCAGTTTATTAAAACGTTAATTTGCTAATTAAATTTTAAAGTAATATGTTAAGAATATTTAAATAGTGATATGTTGTAATTAATATGTTATAGTACCTTATCCGCGATTAATACTTTTTGACAGAAATCAGCTGATAGCTGTCAAAACTACTCCAAATTAAAAAATGTATATAATTTTCAAAAAAGGTAATACAAAATTAATAATTTCTAATTTACTCTTGTTTAGGGAATCATGGCAACATCTCTTAGGTCTCATTCAAAATCGTGAACAGCGATTGCAAGCAGCAGGCGAGATTCATCGGTTTCATCGCGATGTGGCTGAAGCGCTCTCACGAATACAGGAAAAGGAGGCTGCTTTGCCAGAGGATCTGGGTCGCGATTTGAATTCCGTTTTGGCGTTGATTAGACGTCATGAAGGCTTCGAGAATGATCTAGTCGCACTGGAGGCTCAATTGCAAGTTCTAGTCGAGGATGCGTCCAGATTACAAGCTCATTATCCAGGCAACAACGCGACGCACATCGATCGGCAGCAACGAATCGTCGTTATTCATTGGGAGGAATAAAGAATAGATCCGCTCATCGAAGGGATCAGTTGCAGGCTAGCTGCGACCTGCAACGATTCCACGCTCAGGTATGCTTCTTATTATTATCTTCTGTTTATGCTTAATGGTGTACATTGTTTCTAACGTAAAACTTATCCAGGCTAGAGACTTGATGAATTGGGCAGCTGGATTACGCGCTACGATGTCGACGGAGGAAAAGGTCCGAGACGCGGCCAGCGCGCAGACTTTGAAGGCGGAACACGATGCTCTGAAAGGAGAAATCGAAGCGCGCGAGGAAAATTTCAGTTCGGTACTCGATCTAGGCGAGGCCATGGTGCAAACTGGTCACTATGCCGCTATAGTAAGTTTAATAAATCTATGTCTTATCTTGTTTTTAAGGATTGCGGGACTCCCCGCCTTTCAGTCATTAGCTGGTTAAAGAAAGATTTATAAACTGCACAAGATATCTGTACATTTTCTTATTAAAAATTTCAAACTTTTTTCTGTAAATTGTAAACTGTCCAAATTTAAGTTTGAGTACTTATATTTTAGATCTAACAGATTTTCCAAAAAATATATACACATGTGAAAACGCGATGAAACATATCCGCACATGAGACTGATCACTGATAATAAGTCCAGTATCCGTTAATCACGACGATATATCTTTCAGGATGTCGAAGAAAAATGCAATCAACTCTTGGACGAGCGACAGAAGTTGCACACTGCTTGGCAGCAGAAAAAAGTGCATTTGGATCAATTGATCGACTTGCACTTCTTTTTACGAGACGCCAAACAGCTCGACACTTTATCCAGCACTCAGGAGGCTGCGCTGAGCGGCGACAACTTCGGGGTCTCCGTCGAGGAGGTAGACGCGCAGATGAAGAAACACAACGAGTTTGAAAAATTGTTGGTTACCCACGAAGAAAAACTAACTGCGCTGCAAGAACATGGAAACAAACTTTTGGCGCAAAATCATTTCGATTCGTCGACAATCGCCCGGCGATTGAACGAGGTCATTCAAAGACGTGGAAAAATCCGAGACTTGTGCGACGTGCGAAGAAAAAAGTTGGAGGCCAGTCTACTGCACGCGCAATTTGTCAGAGATGTGGGTGAGGCAGAATCTTGGATCGGCGAGAAGCAGAAGAAATTGGAAGCGGAAGCGTCAAAAGGCGAGGTCTCCAGTTTGGAAGACAAAATCAAGAAATTGCAGAAACATCAAGCATTCCAGGCGGAACTGGCGGCAAATCAAAGCAGAATCGAAGAGATTAAAGGTAATTGATTGATAAATAAGTTGTAATTTTTCCGCTTACATACATCGGATTGATAATAAATTTATTTAAAACAGCAAAAGGAGAGACGTTGCTAGCGCGAAAGCATCCGGCTAGCGTGGAAATTCATCAACAATTGGAAAATTTGCATACGTCCTGGCGGAAATTGCTGTTGGAATCTGGAAATCGAGGTAGAGTTTGGAGGAGGCTCAAGATATCTTGGAATTTAATAATCAAGTGGAGAAGATCGAGGCCTGGATCAGAGACAAGGAAATGATGGTCCAAGCCGGCGATACCGGAAAGGATTACGAGCACTGCTTGAGCCTTCAGAGAAAACTCGATGATGTGGACAGCGATATGCGAGTGGACGATTCCAGAATAAAAACTATTAATGCTTTGGCGGATAAACTTATAAAACAGGTAAAATTTTTTAATTTAAAAAATTTTTTAAATACATTTTTATTATAGTACATTAATTAAAACGTAAATTTTATTACTGAAAAACGTTTTTGCTGTTTTGATCAACAGGGTCGCGATAACGAATCAAAAGCAATTCAGCAGCGGCGCGATAACTTTAACAATAAATGGAAAGGTTTGCAAGGTGCGCTGAGTATGTACCGTGAAACATTAGCAGGTGCATTAGAGATCCATCTATTTAATCGGGATATAGATGATACAAACCAAAGAGTTATTGAAAAATCAGTGGCCATGAATACGAGCGATACAGGAAAAGATCTGCCTGCTGTCGAACAACTACAAAGAAAACAAGAGGCTATGGAGCGAGATATGACGGCAATAGAAGGGAAATTAAAAGTGAGTCAAGAATTAATGTTCTATAAATTATTTTATTTTAAAATTAATAATTATATATGGAATAATTTAAATGAATACTAATAATTAATAAATTTATTAATTAAAAATATAAAAAATAATAAATTTATGTGCAATAATTACATAGTTTATAATACATACATTGGATATTAATAATAATAACTGCATATACATTTTATCTCTTTAAAGCTCAATTTTTCTATTTAAACAAAAAATTATTACAATATTATTTATTTAATTTTATTCAATTTAATTTAATTTTATTATTAATTTTAAAACTATTATTTATATATATATATATATATGTATATATATATATATATATATTATATGTGTGAATATAGTTTGCGTGTACATTAAAGTATGATTAATTGTAATAATTCCAAGTACATTTATAAACATAATTTTAAGTACAAATAACATTTTATATTTTAAATTCATTTTATATATTTTTTAGGAGCATAAGGCAGAGTCACGAAAGTTGTCGCACAAATATCCGGACAAGGCATCCGAAATAAATGGAATACTGTCCGAACTGGAATCTAATTGGGACGATCTACAACGTCTCACTCGACATCGACGCGATGCTTTAAATCAAGCTTATACATTGCACAAGTTCCAAGCTGATCTGCACGAATTGGACATTTGGGTGGCCGATACTATCAAACGCATGGACGAATCCGAACCACCGACTACCATATCCGAAGCTGAGGCTTTATTAGAACTGCATCAAGAGAGGAAAGCGGAAATCGACGGTCGACAAGATGCATTTAAAGGTCTGAAGGAACATGGTCAGAAGCTTCTATCGATCAATGAAGATATCAAGGATAATCTCGAGCATTTGAAAGAACTCAGACAGACATTGGGAAATGCCTGGGATGATCGTAGACAGAAATTGACGCAAGCGCACCAGTTGCAACTGTTCAAGGAGCAAGCCGATCAAGCTGATAGCTGGCTGGCGACGAAGGAAGCGTTCCTCAATAATGAGGATCTTGGCGAATCCCTATCGGGAGTAGAGACACTGCTGCGTAAGCACGAGGAGTTCGAGAAGATGCTGATGTCTCAACTGGGACGTATCGACGAGCTCGAAAAGTTTGCCAATGACATCCTATCGCGCGAACATGCGGACTCAGGTATAATAAAGCAGCGAATTGCTTCCGTTTGCGCCAGACGGGACAAGCTAAAGAATAGTGCGACGGCCAGAAGGAAGAAACTTTTAGAGAGTCATCATCTGCACCAGTTCCTCAGAAACATATACGAAGTGGAAGGTTGGCTGCACCAGAAGCAACAGGTAGCGAGCGATGAAAATTATAGAGATTCCTCAAACCTGCAGAGCAAAATACAGAAGCATATCGCGTTTGAGAGTGAATTGATGGCGAACAAGGCGAGAATCTTATCAGTGGCCAACGAGGGTGAGGCGCTCATCGAGGAAAACCACTACGCCTCGAAGGACATACAGGAACGTTTGGACGAGCTGGACGCAGAATGGAACCATCTGCAAGGCACCAGCGAATTGAAGAAGAACCGACTGAACGACGCGTATCAGGCCTTGTTGTTTGGCCGTAGTTTAGACGAATTCGAGACGTGGATGGACGAGGTGGAGACCCAGTTGCAGTCGGAGGATCACGGAAAAGATCTTTCGAGCGTGGCGAATCTGCTGAAGAGACATACCAATTTGGAGAACGACGTGCTCGGTCATAACGAGGCGTGCGAATCCATCAAAGAGACAGCCGCTAGCTTCCAGAAGTCGGCTCACTTCATGCGCGACGAGATTCAGGAGCGAGCATCAGTCACGATAAACAGGTATCACAGTCTCCAGGAGCCGATGCAGATACGCAGGGACAACTTGGAAGACGCAAAGTTGTTGCACCAGTTTGCAAGAGACGTCGAGGACGAGTTACACTGGCTGTCAGAGAAGGAACCATTAGCCGCGAGCAATGATCTCGGAAGTTCTCTTACTACCGTGAAGCGATTGCAAAAAAAGCATCAAGCTTTGGAAGGAGAATTATTGTCCAGAGAACCTGTAGTAGCTTCTTTGGTTAGTAGAGCAACCGTGATGATTCGAAGTGGACACTTTGCGGGAGACAAGATTGAACAATTAATTAAAAAGCTGCAAGAGGAGTTATCGCATCTCAGAGATCTGGCGAGCGTCAGAAAACTGAGATTACTCGATGCCGTGGAATCGCAAACGGTAAGATTAAATGTACCTTTATGATAATGTTGAAAATCATAGTGTTATTAAATGATAAGTAATGCATAGATAATTTGAAGATTTGATAATCATAGAGAAAAATGCATGATTTTTATATACAATATAAATTAAAAAATTTGCATTTTATGTACAGTTTTATGCTGAAGCCACGGAAGCTGAGCAGTGGATTAGAGAAAAACACCCGCAATTAACGTCAACTGATTACGGCAAGGACGAAGATTCCGTGCAGTCTCTGTTAAAGAAACTAGAAGGTATCGAACGTGACTTGTCCGGTTTCGAAAGCACAATTGACAACCTAAAGAAGCTATCACACGGTCTGGTCGAGCGGCATCACTTTGACAGCAAGAATATCGCTCAGAAACAGGCCGATATCGAATTCAAGTTCAAAGAATTGCAGAAATTGAAAGAATATCGATTGCAAAGATTATCAGAGAGCGAAAAGTTTTACAAATTTATCAGACAGGCGGACGAAGTGATCGAATGGATCGGGGACCAAACAACGGTAAATTCAAAGATAATTTTTAATAAGCTAATTATATAATTATATGTATACGCACCAAACATTTATATTCATAATTAATATTAAAATATAATTATTAAAGATATTTTAATTATACATATGGAACTACTATATTTTTTACACAAATCTTCAACAATATTCTGCATAAAAAGTTAGTAAAGAATAGGATAAAAATCTCATAAACTATTCACTTTTTGATCATCCTACCCTTATAACTTCTTATGCAGAATATTGTGAGGAATCGAAGTTATATAAAAAATGATGGATTTATTTAAGAAATTAAAAGTGATCTTTACATGACTTAAACAATTAGCCAAGGTTGAGTCATTTTTATTTGAAACATTTTGTTCTAAAATTAAATGATATCGAGATATTTAATTATTAAAAATAAAACAAAACATCTTGTATACATAATTATTAAACTAATATAAAATATGACCAGGTTGCTGCATCGGAAGACTACGGCCGTGACGTGGAACACGTGGAACTGCTGATTCAGATATTCGACAATTTCTTATCCGGATTGACGACAAGCGAAAGCCGGGTGTCGGCTGTACTTGACGAAGGACAGAGATTGATAGAGCAAAACAATCCCGAGAAGAGCAAGATATCTCTTAAGATCGAAGAAACGAAGCAGCAGTGGGAAGACTTGAAGGAATTGGCGCACGCTCGGCAAGACGCGCTGGCGGGCGCCAAACAGGTTCACATGTTCGACAGAACGGCCGACGAGACCATCTCTTGGATACAGGAGAAAGAGGTGGCCCTTAGCTCGGATGGTTACGGCCACGACCTGGAGACGATTCAGGCTCTGGTGAGGAAGCATCAGGGATTCGAGACCGATCTCGCGGCCGTGAAGGAGCAAGTGGAGTCTCTGACGGAGGAGGCCTCGAGATTGATCGAGCTCTTCCCAGACGCGCGTGTACACATTGATGTGAAGCACCAGGAGGCCGAAGCGGCGTGGACCGAACTGTTGGAGAAGGCGGCTCAGAGACGAAGCAAACTCGCGCAAGCCGAACAGCTGCAAGCCTATCTGGGCGAGTACAGGGAGCTGATATCCTGGATAAACGAAATGGTGGCCAAGGTCACGGCGCCGGAATTGGCGCGCGACGTTCCCGGCGCTGAGGCGCTGATCTCCAGGCACAACGAGTACAAGTCGGAGATCGACACTCGCGAGGAGGCCTTCGACAAGTTTTACCGGATCGGGCAGAAGCTGATCGAACAGGGACATTTTCTCGGGAAAGAGATCGAGGATAAGATATCGGCACTGCAACAGCGTCAACAGATCTTGAAGGACACGTGGCAGCAACGGAAACTTATTTACGAGCAGAACTTGGATACGCAGCTGTTCAAGAGGGACGCCGAAATTTTGGAAAACTGGATAGTCAACAGGGAACCGATGTTGTACGACGATAAATTTGGAGAGAGTATCTCGCAAGTGGAGGAGTTGATCAGGAAACACGAGGATTTCGAGAAGACCATAGAAGCGCAGGAAGAAAGATTCAGCGCGCTCAAGCGAACAACAATGGTATGTTTGCTAATATGATGATATGAAGATAATATGAAGATAATACGGTGAAAATAAAAAGAAAAGAGATTGTTAGCAATTATTACTAATGACTTTTATAATATGTATCTATCTAATGTTATTAATTTACTTTCAGCTGGAAGAAGCCTTCCGGAAACAGCAAGAAGCGGAAATGGCCGCGCGCCAAGCGGAAAAAGAACGTGCGGAACGTGAACGAATTGCGGAACGAAAGCGTAAAGAGATACAGAGGATAACCGAAGAGCGAAAACGCGAAGGGGAACGTAGGCGATTGTTAGACAATTCTCATCGCGCTCAACACGATGAGATTAATGGATCTGTCGACGAACACGAATCTGTGAATATGTAAGTAAAAATTACAATTTTATTCAAGATTAAATATTATAATGAAATAGCTGAAATAATTTAATATTTTAACAAATGCTCTGTTGTCTGTATCTATCAGATTAGCTCCGCTGAAGGGTGCTACTTCCGAAACAGCAGAACCCGCGATACCTCAGAAATCTCATGGTTTATCGCACGTATTTGGCGAAAAATTAAGACGAGGTATGTCATTTTTATGAGGAAAGATCGAAAAAATATAATAATTAAATATAAAATATAATTATGTAATATATTATTACATTATAAAATATAATATATATTATATTATATAATAATAATAAAATATAATAATAATAAAAAATAGAATAATAAATAAAATAAATGGTTTTATTATTTATTAATATACGTTTCTATTAAAATTTCTTTAGCAACTTCGGATATCAAGAGAGCCGAAAGCATGAAAGTGGATACGAAGAAGCCAAAACGGACCCCGAGCTTCACGACTAGACGAAGAACGCAAAGTTTCAGAAAACTGCAACGAATGGAGAATATGGACGCGTTGCGGCCGGTCGAAATTCAAGGTTTTCTCGAACGAAAGCACGAGCTTCAGAGCGCCGGCAAAAAAGCAGCAGTTCGATCGTGGAAACAATATTACACCGGTACAACTTAATTATTTATAAAATTTAATAGATGGAAGCGTAAAGCTTTTCGTTTTACAAACATATTTTTATTTCTGGTCGATGCAGTACTATGCGGGCAACTGCTGTGCTTCTTCAAGGACGTGGAAGATTTCTCGTTGAGCAAAGCCGCTACTGCTCCGATAACGATTTTCAATGCCGTGTGCGAAAAAGCGGAAGATTACACGAAGAAGAAGAACGTGTTCCGATTGAAGTGTACGGACGGCTCGGAATTTTTATTCTTAGCTCCGAGTCAGCAGGAGATGGAAGACTGGGTTAACAAAATTTCGTTCCACGCGAAACTACCACCGAGTCTGCAGCTCTTAAGCTACGACGAGTCTCAGAAGGTTTGCGAAGAAAAATTAATTTATATTTTTATATATGAATTTTTCTGGAGTATTATTTTTATAATTATTATTTTAATCTTGTCTACAATTATTTTTGCATTTTTTATTATTTCTTTTTTATTATCTTATTGCAAAATAATTCAGATTTTCTAATCTCTTAAATTCAAATGCAGCAAGAAGGTTTGGAAAGGCTGCAAAGCTCGGCACTGGATCACGTGGACGACAACGTGTCGACCGGAAGTAGTCGCGTTTCTACACCGGAGATGGAACGCAAGAACTCTGTAATCAGGCGTGATCCCACGTCGTCGAATCAGCATCACTCATCGAGCAACGTGCAGATAGAGTTCCTGCAGACCCATCGGCAGAATCAGCAACGACGCAACGACGCACAGAATGCCGATGCATTCCTCGCGTCGCAGAGATCCGAGCCGCAGACTCAAACTGAGTTTCTGCAGATGCATAGGCAACAGCAACTGCTTGCGCAACAACAATTGATGCAGCAGGAACAGCTGGCGGCTCAGCGGGATCAGTATCAACACAATTCCGCGATGCTGGAAACCGATAAACCACCCATACCGCCGCGAGGAGCTCCTCCACCTATTCCCATGAGAACACCGAGTTCAGAAAATATGATGCAATATAGGCGCAATGGTACGCTAATTAATGTAGCGTATAATTAAAAAATTTTTTTTTAATTTTTACTTTGCACGTATCACTTATTTTTTTGTCTCTAATAATCTAATGTCTTTTTGCACACGTTATAATTTATTTCCTCCTGTAATTTTTTATATATTAATATTAAAAAAAATGTTTTCTAGATGTGGAACACCATATGCAACAAGGAAGACCTGTTTATCAACAACGCAGTGCAACGTTAAATCATAATGGATCTGGCCAGTATTCATCAAATGAGCCAACAACATGGCATAGACAAAGTAGCGTGGATCTTCCTCCGCAACATCAAGGTACATATTATTATACAGATAGTATACGTAATTTGAAAGATATTCTCTCAAGAGATTTAGGAAGATTCTCTACTGATATTCATGGACACGTGAACATTCATCATCATTTTATAGAATTAGCACCTCCATTGCCATTGAGTGCCCCTCCGCCGACTAGAATGACTCAGTGGAACATTCCTCAGCATCTTGGTCAGTCATTACTCACATTCGATGATGCGCAGAAAGATTGAATGTGAAAAAGTCGCATGCAACCATTTTATATATTGACACTTTGTTTTTTATCACTTATCCGTATTTTTATGAGAAAAAGTATATTTTTTATCTACCAAAATGCTTGGCCAGGAATGTAACATACTAAAGCAATGTATAAAAATGATCAATTACACATTTATATACATGTATCTTTAACCGAAACACATAGCCATCTATATCTTTTATTATAAAATATTAACAGATTTTTGCTACTTGTTTATAAGCACTTTAAAAAAATTATATAATTTAATATTGCATTCTGCGTTAGTATCTGCACTTTGATTTTCTAACTCTATAATTCACATGATCAGCAATAACAATTGTAAATAGCTGTTTAGTATATAATAACAATATAGCTGAATGCAAATGTTGCATCAATTTGTGATGTCAATTTGTTGAAATAATTTTTATTAATTGTATCTTTTCTTTTTTGTTACAGCATACGGGAATGTACCAGTAAATATTAGACAAGTAAGTTTCTTTTAAAATAAATTAAACACTTAAAATTGAGTGAACAATTAAAAATAATTTCTATATTTACTATGTGAGATGAGATCATAATTATCATTATTTTCATAAATTTCTTTTAAAATAGATGATTTATAAAGAATATTGATAAAAAAATTATACTTTATTTAAATTAAGTTACAAAAATAGCTATATAACATTTATAAACAAGTGATTGCTTAGTGACTTCTTGTGTTTTAAGTTTAAATTTATCAGTCTTTCGTTTACAAATCTGAATAATAAATTCGCATTTTTTTTTAGGGTATGCAGCAACAAAATAACACCTACACCAGTAGACCGACCTCGTTGCCGCCTTACGTCGCTCCGCCAGCAGCTCCGCAAACGTCTCCCTCAAATATCACAGTGGTGGATGGCGTGAGAAGAACCTCAGAAAGCGGATCGGAAAGCGAGCAAAGCTCAGGCGGCAGTCGCAAAGATCGCGATTACAAACGAAGTTCCGTGTTGAGCAATTTATTCGGAAGACGTAAAAAACCTTCTCAATCGTAACGCTGATTCCAAAAGCTCCTTCGAAGCGCATTTATGTAACTACGATCTTTGTAGTCATTTCATACGAGTTATTACTTACTTAAACGTAATGCAAAAAGTGCGATCTTTCTCGTATAAAATAAACGACGAAGTTCCTTGAAAATATCATTGGGATTTTTAATACTACTATGGCATATTTTTGCTAAGCAGTACATTGATAGTAACTTATTTCTTGTAAATTTTATAGCAATTTTATATATATATGCTCTTATCCCGATAATTTTAATTTGATATATTCCAATAATTCCGGATTTGAATCATTAACACAAATTTTCCAATATTATATATCAATATTTTCAATCAAAATCATAATTGATGATTAATTAAGAAATAAATTCTGAATTATAAATTTATAATTTGGAAATAATTAGAAGGTAAAATATTTTTCATAAAATTTGTATGTTCTTCGAAAATATGAAGTTTTTCGTTATTCGAATCCTTGGACAATGTTGCGAATCAACATTTATTCAAGAATATTTAATTCTTGATTTTGTTAATCTTATTAAAATATTCATAAAATTTAAAATTATATCAACTGTTATAATTCTAAAGATTAGTTGATACATACTGTATTTCAATTATATTAATAATTAGAAAATTTTTAAAAAATTTACAAATTTATTAATTATAATTTTTACATATGCTATTAATTATATATTAATTGAAAATAGTATAAAAATGTACACAACTACTCTCTTTTTATTTATATATATGTATATATGCATTATATATATGTATATGTATATATATGTATATATATACATATATGGATATATGTATATATGCATGTACTATTACAATATACGTTTATATATGTATATTAATAGAGAGTAAAGAAAATTTTACACGTATGTACAAACAACATTTTTAGAGATTATAACAGCTGAAAATTTTCAATTATTAAATTAAAAAGAACAAATACATATAATTAGTAAAATTATACAAATATATCAATTTCATATATATTATAAATTCATTATTTTTATATTTAACTTTAGTTTCGGATCTACTAATGATGAATTTTCTGCAGTTTTTGATACATTGTAATGATAAAATTGTTGAACTGAAGGCCTTTAAGAATATATCCCAACAAATAGCGACGTTTTGTAATATAAAAAATTGTATTTAAATTGCACGAAAACAGAGATCACAGATTACCGAGTTTATTTGAGATGTACCTGACTTTGAGAACAAAGTGTAGGATGACTTCTGTTTTCGGAGAGAAAAAAAGAAAGAGAGAAAGAGAAATTATCCCTTTCCTTTTTTTCTTTTTAAGTTAAAGTTAAAAATTACCAGTAGAGACGTTAAAATGTCAGAAGAGCGTATAATGTTTAAGTTGTAGATGTCATATATAATATATATTGCAAATATATATATTTGTAGACCCATATACCATATATGTGGGACCAATGATCTTATATTGTATTAAATTTCATAGATATGTCGCCGTATTTTTGATGAAGAAAAAATATATTCTTGAACGTTATACCATTTTTACGATAATGGTGATGTTACGAAAATGTAAAGTATATTTAATACAATATAGAAATTGTATACTATGCAGGCCTATCATCAGCCCATATGTAGTTATAGAGAGAAAGAAGGTCAAAATATAATATCATATAAACAAAAAAATCAAATGCACGTATTTATTTATAAAATCCAAAGTTAAAATTTAAACTAAAAAAAAAATAAAAGTAAATTCTTTGCATATGTATTTATGAAAGCAATTAATTTTTATTTAATTTTATTCTATTATTTATTTAATAATTTTATTATTTATTTTTAAAAAAATTTGAACATTTTTTATTTTCAATCATTAATTAGGTAAATATTCGAAGGTACACAAACTGTTTTATATATATATATAAATAGAATAATTAAAATTACATATTTAATGAAACATCTTACATTTATACATATAAAAAAATTGATATAAAACTTTTATATAAATATATATAAATTAATATGTAATATTCTTAATAATATCACTAATCTCTAGTTAAAAATTAAAACAAATCATGTGTCAATCATTAATTTTTTTGTATTGAGAAAAGCATGTTTTACGACCTGTTTGCTCAATATACACGGATTCTACTGCGCCGAAATCGTAATAAATTTCAAATTATTTCGAGCGATCATGTAATGGAAGCTTGTAGCACTTCGGATTTTGGCTATTTTCATCTCCTGTTCTAGTTTTGTATGAAATATATCCTATATAAACTTGCTAGGAAAATAGAACGAATTAATGATGGGCAGTGTGTGTATGTGTGTGTACAATGTAAATTATGGTAATTACAAAAATATCACAAAAAATATATGACGTTAACGTAAAAAATAATGATGGCTTATTACATATAGCTTACATACTCAAAAGGGATTCATTTTTGGAGTGATTTATAATACATTCAATTTTAATTATAGTTCAAAGAAATTAAATTATATACAATTATATATGAAATAATTCCTAACATTGATTGAAACATTTTTAAATAATGATTTACAAAAAAATAATTCGCAGTAAATATTACTTCAGGGATTTCTCTGGATGAGCAACTTGAAGATTTATACTCCATAAAACTTTTGTTCGGGTGAAATCAGGCTAACTTTTGACTCATACTTTTAAAGATATTGAATACATTAATATATCAATAAATTATTAGTAGTACAAACATTCATGAAACCTTTAAGTTTAAAGAAAAGCTACTAGGTCAATCAAGATATCATAAACCTACTCTACCTTATTCTGGATCATCGATAGCATTATTTGACAGAAGATCCTTGTTACGTAACTGTGACAGCAAATCTTTATAGTTTTCGACTCTCTTTGTTAGTCGCTTAACTTGCTTTTGGAGACTATTTATTCGAGTATTGTGTTTTTTTAGATATTTCCTAACTACATTATAGCATTCGGGCGAAGTAAAATCTTCAGGGCAAAAATCTCCAAGAAATTTGACAGTTCGTACCTTATTGCATGTGGCAGCTTTGTCTGCAGGTCGTTTTCTTTTTCTGTAAAAATAAAAAGAAATATGAAAATGATGCTGCTGTTAAGAAATTGTACATATTTTTCTTACTACATGTTACAATTTACTTTGTTGACATTAAATGTTTGTCCTGACTATTGTCTGCATCATATAGAGGACCAGGAGATGAAACATCTTTAGTAATTCTGCAGTGTTGGACTGCTGAATTTTCATTATTGGAGATATTTACTGATTGTGATTCACAAGAGTCTGACTTTTCATTTGTTGGCAAAACTTCGTTGACCAATTCCCTAATAATAATAATTTTTTTTTATAATGAAATAATATTTCAAAATTTTATCAGATAAAGTATACATACTTTTCTTACTACATGTTGTGACTTACCTTGTTGATATTGAATTGTTCTCACTATTGTCCGCATTAAATAGAGGCTCAGGAAATAAAACATCTTTAATTACTTTGCAGTATTGGACTGCTGGATTTTTATTATTGGAGATATTTACTAGTTCTGATTCTGATTCACAAGAGTCTGAAGAGTTTTCATTTGTTGACGAAACTTCGTTGATCAATTCACTAATGATAATAATTTTTTTATAATGAAATATATGTTATTCCAGAATTTTATCAGATAAATAGCTTATGATAAACTTACCTTGGATCGTCTAAATCGTGGCATTTTTCTACTGTAGGAATTGCCCCTATTATTAAATGTCTTTGAATGTTACCATGTTTATTGATTTTATAGTGAAAAAAATGTGGTTCAAAATGATCACTGCACACTTTGCTGTGTTTAGAAACATTTCTTCCGATCACAGCAATCCATTTTTCTTTGAATTCTTGTGACCGTGGTATGCTTGAAAAACATATTTCTATTATTATACATATACATTGTAGATTTAAGTCTAAACCATTTTTGTTCCACAATTCAAAATAATATATTTACTTATGAAATGTAATATCTTCATGAGAGCCAGAATGCGATTTGCAAATGCAACAATAAGACATTTTTTTATTTTGTATATATTTTAGACAAAATAAACTTATAAAATCTATATTTACGCCATATCGTTATGTCATTTAGTAGAAGACGCGAACAGCTGACGCTGATAGCTCCGCTCACAGATGGCCCATGATACAAGTAAACAATTTATTTTATTTGAATTACTGCCGAAAAATGGACGAATAATAGGTCGATCTCTGATTGGCTGTAATCACAGAGAAACCTGAGAGCGGCCATCGGGATTCAGCGGCCGCTTTCAGGTTTCTCTCTGTGTTTACTTGCATCGTGTCTATATTATATATATCTATGGTCTTAACCTTATGAATAATCTCAATCCGCTGAATTGCGGTGCCGTTTTCAGGTTTCTTTCTGCTAATACTAATCGACAAATTGTTATATTAATCGTCTACGATGGTGCGAAAATTAAAATATCATGAGCAAAAGTTGCTGAAGAAGGTGGACTTTTTATCGTGGTCGGCCGACAATAATCTTCACGAGGTTAAGATCTTAAAGCGATATTGTATTCAGAAAAGATCAGACTATACAGTGTAAGAATATGAGATTATTTTATTTTAATAAATTTATATTATACTTAATATAATATATTATTTTTATATTTATTTTTTATATTTAATATTTTATATTTATATATATTTATTATATATTTATATTTTATATATTATATTTAATATATATTTATATATATTAAATATCATAATGTCATAGTTTAATAATTTAACTATAATTGTAGATATAACAAATTGTCACGCGAGATACGGGAATTGGGTAAAAAATTAAGGAAGTCGAACCAGACCATCCTTTCCGCATAGAACAGAGTGCTCTGTTGTTGGAGAAGCTGTACATGATGGGTTTGATCTCTACCAAGTGGGACCTGTCTCAAACACAAAAAGTAACCGCCAGTTGCTTCTGTAGACGAAGACTTCCAGTTGTTATGGTACGCAACAAAATGAGTCAAACGATATCAATGGCAACAAAGCTGATAGAACAGGGTCATGTCAGAGTTGGGGTTGAAGTTATAAAGGATCCTGCATTTCTGGTAACAAGGTAACATGCCTTACTGCATTTTCTCTTTGTTTTATATAAATATGTGGAATAAATAAAATGTTTATATACATTTTCGACAGAAATTTGGAAGACTTTGTCACCTGGGTAGATACCTCTGCTATTAGAAAACATGTACTAGAATACAACAATGCGGTAAGCATATCTTTTTTAGTTTTCTCTCTCTTATATTATATATATATTATTACTAGTTAAATTACATTTATGTATTTATTTTGCAGAGGGACGATTTTGATTTGGCATAAATATGTATGTTGATTGAACGTGTGCTTGTAAAACTATATTTTTATAAAGAAAAATGAATTGTTTATTAGATTATTTATATCGTGAATATCTAGAATCTAGAATTAAATTTTTCAACAAAGTATTTTGCTAATTATTATACATAACTTCTCATCTTATAATTATAAACAGATATTTTGAAACGAAAATTAATTAATATCTTAGAGGAATTCTTTCTTGATGTTTACAAATAATTACATTTGAGATTATATTACATTAATGATTTTGTTTATTAACCTGAGTTTTGATATTTGAACATACGTTGTACACACATTTCTACATTTCTCCCTGGTGGGATTTCTATATAGAATAACCATGATTGATTTCCATTATAATGAGGTAAAGTTTATTATTAAAAGTCGGATTAGAGTGATCGCCACTTTTCAGATTGTACGTAATCATTTAAACGTGTGCACACAAAGCATGTTTACATAATTATAATAACAAAGCATCTTGTTTTGAATTTAACACAAACACAACATGATCTCTGATTCTCGCTTACATGAATATAACAATTCAAGATAAATACAAAGTAGAATCGAGATAAAGCCACGTATTTGACACAAGAGCAAGTAGTGGAATATATATTTTTATACAATTCGCTAAAAACTATGAAGATTCGGAAAATAAGAGACAGGATCTCAAATTTATATAAATGTTAAAAACAATCTCATCATCTTATAGAGACTTATACATATTATATGTATATATATTATTAAAAAACGCAGTGTACAGTGACAAAAACTGATGATAGAGCACAATGAATCATACCACGTGCATTTCGAGCAGCCACTCATTCATATACTTATAATGATATAATTAGTATTTATTTATGATATTATGATACAAATGTTACATGTTAATATCTTTATAGTAATCGGCAGTCTCTGTGCTGGTCTCTGTGACATCGCCGCCGCGTTAAATAATCTTCATTACGTTCTACAGAGAGTTCTTCACAGAGTATTCCACTTCTCTAGGACGTAATTAACAGATCAAACGGGGGCGTGTGTCGGCTCAGGTCCCTAAGTATCTCCTTCTCCTTCTTCTCCTCCTCCACCGTCATCAACTATTTACATAAATGCCTTGCGAAATCTCTCCGTAACACGCTGCATTTATTCGAGAAAGAACGAAAAACTCATTTACATTATATTGTTTCCTTATCTTTCTTCTTTTATCTCTTCAGATTTTATATATATATATATATATATATATTTTTTTTTTACATAAATATATATATGTATATATTTTTCGCAGCGTATATTCGCCGCACACACACCTCGTGAAATGTTTATCAATTCGTTCAAAAAATGAAACATGAATCATGATCACGCGTTTTTGTTTAGAGGTGATCCGCAATAAACGTGACATTTATGTGTGATATTTCAGATAGTTCAGTTAATGAAATATCGTACAAAAGAAAGAAGCAAAGACGAAGTGAAGAGAAATTATGAAAACAAACTAGTAATATAATACATACATTTTGCGCGATTATTAATAATTATATAAGCCGAGACAGTCACTAAACTCACGAGAGATACAATAATAACATGTATCTCTCGTACCTCTATCGTTAAACGTGTTTCATATTATACTATTGTTCATTTCTTCTTACGTGTTATATCTATTGTTCATTTCTTCTTACGTGGATATGTTGTTATTACATTTAGAATTTCGCATCGATCTTTTTCTCTCGGCGTTATTCGCGCGATTTCGCTTCCTTCTCAAAACAAAAATTTATATTTTCTCTTGTCATCCTACTGTTCTTTATACAAGTTCGTAGACGTATTCTATTCTATCGATTAATCTTAACGAGATACTCAGTGAATTATGTTGCCTGTTATGTATACGATTCTGAGAAAAATCAACTTAACAATATGCAAACAATTTCCATGATGATTGATTTTCATTTCATATATATATATATATATATATATATATATATATATATATATATATATAGATCTCTATTTACACTTTGGAGACTATACAAGACTCTGAGTATCGCGCTAATTACGAATTTGCAACCTACATCGCTATATCTGATCACCCAAATTCTGAGAAATTGTGATGATTCTTTCTGGCTCTATATTTCTCAGGTTTTGGAGAATTCACCAACTTAAGTATCCATGCTTCTCTCGACATTCAAATGTCAGAATCAAGCTGTACATAATTTCAAAAAAAATTAAAAAAGTGACAAATTTATTTTCATAGAAAGATTGCACGATACGATTATGATAAAAAGAAAGAGACCAAATAGATACAAAATTTTGAAAAAAGCGTATGTGTATATAAATGTGATAATAATCTACAGCAATAAAGTTGAATTATGAATCGCAATTTAAAATGGCCAACTTATGTAAAAATATTAATGTGAGAATTTAAAGAAAGACAAATGGATGACTGCCTTAATGGAAAAGAAAGATTCTTACAGTTGTACGCTACTATCTACAAAAACTTTGATATTTTAATTTTAATATGCTTTCCATATTACGCTTTGTGTTGCAATAAATAGTATAATTTTTACATAGGCAGTTTTACATATGCTACTATACAAGAAGAAGAATGTGAAAAGATTCTCTTATACTTTCCCCTCCACTCCAATTTAAATATAAATTTATCAATATAAAAATAAAATCTATACAGCTTTAAACACAAATGTAATTTTCGCATAATATCTGACATTGAAAAGATTTTGTATCATACCATCAGAATTTTAAAATAGTGTTATCATCCATTATGGATTGCAGTGAGACATTATTTTTTTCTTTGTTTATAAAAGATCACTTAATTTATAATTCAATAAAGTATTTATCTTATAAGAAGCATATATAATAAAAAATTAAAGCTGCTTATTATTATTTATTACGCTATATTCTCAACTCCCAGGACCAATCATTCCATTTTTGGAGATGACATAATTCTTTGAAAAATAAATCTCTATCATATATCTCTGCTTAAATCGTAACACTGGCTATAATACAGACAGAGTAATAAGATCAGTGTTAATGGAAAGACTGGTCCTTAGACAATATTGAATTTACGCTTTTGTTAATCCTCCAATATTATGCTATCTGATGTAAAACTTTAGTGTTTACATTCTTTATAGACTGTGGAGTTAATAAAATTAAAAACGAACATATTAAAACAATATTTCCGCATATTATATATTAATTCAATTGTGTTAAAAATTTAATTGATATTGCACATTAACTTAATGGTTTAAAGAATCTCAAATATTAGATAGTATTTTCACTGTAAAATCATAGATGAAATGAATGCAAATTATATAGCAAGAATATCAGATGTGAATCGCGGATAGACATAAGCTTTGGAAGATTGACAATGTATCCATTTTGTTCATTCAATCATGATTTTTACAAATTATATTTTTTTACATACCGAAATGCACGTGGTGATATTCATTATTGTAAAATATAATTACGATTGCGAAATGTATCAAAGTTTTCCGTGGCTTTAATATCAACTATTAAGAAAAAGAGATGTGTGCACACATTACAGGATTACATATAATCGACATGATTTTTAATGGGTACAGAACTTTTTTCGCCCTCTATATTTTTCGGAAAATGTCAATGCATTTTTTACTTTATCTATGTATATGTATCCGATATAACAAATTGTATTTTTTATCAATATGTTGTGGCATAACAAGATAGATAGGTTATTGCAACAATTTCACTTTGTAACATAATATTTATGTCACAAAAGTATTTCTGAAGAAGTTTTCTAGCACATGTAGAATATCTACATATACCAGACATATCTAGTTTAATAAAGAATAAAAGAACAATTAATGTTTATTAACTCATGTAAATATATGAGTAGTATGTATAAATTATATTACTCAAATTTCTACCAAAGAATTCGAGATAATTAGTCATCTTTTAATGCTCAAGGAACAATATCAATGTTCCTCTTGCGCACATAAATATTTAAGTAAGATCTAAATAAGTTTAAGTTGCATTTTCTCACGATTGACTTGAAATGTAAAGATTCAAGCACAACAACATCTATAGCAAATATCTAGTATTACATAGATCTTGAAACATTTCTTTCAGTTGCTACTTACAGATATGCATATTGAATAGTTTTTGTCCAATACGCACGGTGTATATATATATATATATATATATATATATATATATATATAATATGGATGGACTCCGTAAAACGTTGGTAACAATTTATAAAAATGGAAAATTCGTTCATTGATGTCAGCAACAATTATTTCGTGCTATTGCTTTGTAATCTGACGATAATAAAATGGAGCGAACTTCTATAACCCAAAATGAATTTATACCGATGTGAAACTTTACCCTCTTGTTTTGTAAATTTCTCTGAACAAATAGTTGTTAGTACATACAAAACAAAATATTTTTATGTAATCACAGTCGGTGCGTCGCGGCAAGTGTGTTGACGAAGTTCGCTTAATTCTAATGCGATATTAATCAAAGGTTTTAACACCAATTGTGCGTCTTTCTCGAAAGTAGCTGGATCATTCTCATAACTATCGATATACATACGGATAGTAGCGCCTGAACTTCCCGTTCCGGATAAGCGGAATATAATGCGGGAACCATCCACAAACAATATCCGTAAACCCTAATGTACAAAACAATGTAACTATAATGCTTGAAATTATGAAATCATACCATAATAAACATGTTTGTAAAACATACCTGTTTCGTAGCTTTGCTACCATCAACAGGATCCGTGTAGGAATAATTGTCCGCTTGCTTAACAATGTATTCTTTACCTTCGTGCTGCAACTTTCTGCTGATAAATTCTGGTTTCTGAATCAGAGCTTCAAGGTTCTGCATCATCTTGTCCGCGTTCGCAGAGTCGCAATTTTCATAATCATATCTAAAACCAATAATAAGTTTAGAAATTTGAAAAAACACTAAAGGAACACTATGAACTGAAGAATATGTAATTAATTTCCAAAGATATAGTAAAGAGAGATCATATATTAATATTATATATACCTAGTAGATAAATTAATATATAATGTATATACCTAGTAAAAAAATTTCTTCCATAAATTTTCCAGTGATCCAATAAAATATTCTCTACAGATTTCCCAAGTCCTGCGATGACATTGAGCCATGCCAGGCATGCCCATATTCCATCTTTCTCACGAATATGATCAGAACCTGTACCAAAGCTTTCTTCTCCACACAATGATAGATCCCCAGCATCCATTAAATTTCCTAAAATTTAAAGAGATTGCTTGTATGATTTATAGATTTTCTTGAATAAAAAGTAAGAATCATACCAAAATATTTCCATCCAGTAGGAACTTCGAAGAATTTCGCTCCGTCTTTAGTAGCAACTCTATCGACAGCTGCAGCCGTTGGCATAGATCTAGCATATCCTTTAATGCCAGTCTTTTGGAAATATGGAATAAACTTTAGATTAGCAGCTAATACTGCTAAAGAATCAGAGGGAGTAACAAAAAAAGCTTTCTTGCCCAAGATCTGTAAGCACAAGTAAAATTTGTTGAAACATTAATCTAATTTTGAAGGATTTAAAATTGTTTTTTTCTAAATTGATTTTGCTCACCATATTTCTATCTCCATCTCCATCAAAAGCGGCACCAAAATCATATGGTCCTTCCTTTATAGCATTCACTAAATCTTTGGCATAAGTTAAATTTGGATCAGGATGTAAACCACCAAAATCTTCTAACGGCTTTATATTTACTAAACTTGAATTATCGACGCCTAATTCGCTACTAAATATCTTTTCTACATACGGTCCCGTAACTGAAAATCAATGAGAATTTATTATAACATTTATGTTCATCCGAGAGAATTTTTCACAAAAGCAAGAATAACATGTAAATTATGTAATAATCTAACCTCCATTCATCGAATTGATGAGAACTTTAAATGCTGGTTTATCAGCATTACCTTGCAATAATTTCTTAATACTTGCAAAGTCAAAAATCTCTTTCATAAGTTCCACATAATCATTCACAGAATCAATTATATCGATGGTAAATTGTCTACCATCCACTTCGATAGAAGTGCTCTGTATTTTATCAATATCTACGCTAATATCAGGAATAATTTTATAACATTGAATTGTTTTAGTGATTTCGTAGATTTTATTCGTCACGTTGTCCGGAGCAGGGCCACCGTTGTCGCAATTAAATTTAATGCCAAAGTCGGCATCGGGACCACCAGGATTGTGCGACGCTGTTAGGACAATTCCGCCTTGTGTCTTGTACTTTCTTATTATAGTTGATACCGCTGGCGTTGAGAGAATACCATTTTGACCAACAATTAATTTTCCTACCTAAAAAAAAAAACAATAATTTTGTAATACAATCTACTTTTTTGGTATCTATATACTATAAAATTTCTTTCTACACCTAACTCTAGATAACCTTTTATAGAATTATCTTTAACTCAATTTTATTACTTTTTCGAATAAAACTGTCAAATAATTAAATGACATGTACTTTATAAAAATCAACAGAATCCTGATGGAATTAAGACACATTGCATGCTATATATAAACGATGCGATATTACCAAAATTTTCTCGCACGTTCAGTCCGCAGACCTCTCATGGAGTTTCCGCGATCTTACCCCGTTTGCCGCGGCGATCCGGATGATCTTCTTTACCGCTTCCTTGCCGTAAAACCGTCCGTCACCACCGACGACGAGAGTGCAGCCGATCAGCTGATCGCCCAGGGCCTGCAGTATCGCCTGGACGAAGTTCTCCGTGTAGTGTTCCTGCTGAAAGACCTTGACGGCCTTGCGCAGCCCCGAAGTGCCCGGTTTCTGGCCTTCGTACACCCGGGTGTTCACCGTCAGACTCGTCACCGGCGTCGTCGTCGCGGACATGGTCTGCAAGCGCGCTGCAAAACGGGAAGAAATGTCAAAGAGAAAAAGGGGAACGTAACTGGAGACAAGGCTAGGAGGAAGACGTGTCGTAATCGGCGAACGCGCGGACAAAAGGGAGAGCTCGTACTCTCGCGATAGCCGTCCGATAACTGCCGGCAGCCTGAACTCCGCCTGTCAATGACACGCAAGGGCACGAGCGCCCGGTCGCCGCCATCTTGCAAAAGATCGCGCGCGCCAGCTGTCGCGCACGTGCACCGCACGGCGTGGTGTGGCATGGCATGGCATGGCATGGCATGGCATATAGGCATATAGATAGGTCAGGGGATCTACTGCGTCAAGTAGATGCTCGAAATCACAGATTAATAGACAGATCGCCAAAGGTCTGGATGAAGGAGAGACCAGCATTTCTCACTGATTTCAGCGCCATATCGTGGTAGTGGTCAATGCAGTAACTATTAATACGTTCCCAAGATAAGAGCGTCTCATGCTCATGAACTCGTCCGGCGGCATGTACGAGATTTATCTTTTCGTAGCGTTCGCGTATTTCGGAAAGGACAGAATTTTATGATGTTATAAATAAATAAATAAATAAAATATTAACCTGACCTATTATAATTATTTTTTAATAAATGTTTCATTATTATTATCATCTAAGTCTAAGTCGTTTAATTAATTTTTAGTTTTTTAATAATTAATTTAATTTATTCTAATCATTTTAATATGTGAAAAATACTAATACGTATACGTTTTATAATGAATTAATATATTTCGAGAGTCGAATTATATATTTTTAATAATATAAAAGTGTTCAAAAATTATATTTGACTTTTAATTTTAATTATTTTAGCAAAGAGTTCCGAAATCTCTTACACACATAATAGGGATTTTGTTCATCCATATAATTCGCAATTAAGTATATATGTTAATTATTAATTTTAATAAAATACAAAATTAAAATTAAAGGTCAAATATAATTTTTGAACATAAATATATTTAATTCGTTATAAAACGTATACCCGTGATAGTATTTTTCTCGTACAAAAATAATTAGAACAAATTAAATTACTCATAAAAAAATAAAAAAATAATTAAATAATTTATATTATATATGATAATAATAAAACATTTTATAAAAAAAACAGATTCAATAAATATAAGTATATATATAACATGTACTTATATTTATTGAATCTGTTTTTTAATAAAATGTTTTATAAGCTTAGAAAACTTGACTTTGACATAACTAGCAAATTTTATTTAATTATTTCACGACGGTTTGACGTAATAAAATGTTTTATTATTATTATATAAAATATAAGTTTAAATTCTTTAAGGGGTTATACCTACCTGCAAGGTCTGAAAAACACGTATTTTTGGGAATTTTTTTTTAAATATTTGAAGTGCTTTGGAAAGGAACATTTATGTTTTCAAATATATATATTTCAAAGATTATTTAGTATTTTTTTTATTGCAAAATGTTGATAAATAAAAAAGATATGCTTAATCTTCCAGAAGCAGTTTTTTGAAAAGCGTTTTGCGGTGACCACTCTAACTTTGAACTGGTTTACCAGAAATCAAAAAACCCGAGAAATTTAGTTAATATATAAGATTATCTAGTGCCCGATCGTTCATTTTTTTGAAAAATTAATTTGCGACAAAATGGCGGCTGTTCAAATTTGAAGGTATGATTTTGCTACCAAAAATTCGCTCGTTTTTTTATTATTAAAAAAAATACGCAACGAAAAAACAAAAGCCACGATCGGGCACTAGATTTTTTAGTATTAAAGATGTCTACCAAATTTTATTTCAATCGATGCAGCGGTTTTCGAGATATTTTGGTCACCGATTTTAAAAATGCTGTTTTGAGAAAAACGCATTTGAAGTTTCAAATTAAGTTCACAACCAAATAATATATTTATATATATATTTATATATATTTATATATATTATTTATTTATATATATTTTGGCTTTGTATAGAGACCGCTTTTGTCCGCGTCGCAGCTGCCGTTCGATACCTGAGACCCGTTTCTGTACCCTGCTTCTAAACAGCAGGATACGTTCACACCAGTATACCTTTAAACTCACATAACTTCGTTAATTTTTGTCGAATCGACTTGAAATTTGCAGGGAATATTTTTGAAAGTATGTACTTTAAGAAAATATCAAAATCCAAAAATCGATTTTTTTGAAGTTTGCAGATAGGTATAACCCCTTAATTAATTTTTAATCTTTTATGATTAATTTAATTTACTCTAATTATTTTTGTACGAGAAAAATACTATTATGGGTATACGTTTTATAATTAATTTAATATATTTGTGTTTAAAAATTATATTTGACCTTTAATTTTAATTTTTATTTTATTAAAATTAATAATTAACATATATACTTAATTGCGAATTATATGGATGAAAAAAATCCCCATTATGTGTGTAAGAGATTTCGGAACTCTTTGCTATAAAATAATTAAAATTAAAAGTCAAATATAATTTTTGAACACTTTTATATTATTAAGAATATATAATTCGGTTCCCGAAATATATTAATTCATTATAAAACGTATACGTGATATTATTTTTCTCATATAAAAATGACTAGAATAAATTAAATTAATTATTAAAAAACTAAAAAGTAATTAAACGACTTAGACTTAGATGATAATAATAATGAAACATTTTATTAAAAAAAGATTCAATAACTAGTAGGTCAGGTTATAATTTTTTATTTATTTATTTATAACATTATGAGCTATTAAGCTCATCATCTCGTTCGCTCTCTGTCTTGCTTTCATTCGGCAAGTCACAAACGATATATGATACTCGTATGTTCCTACTTCAACTCTCGAGAATCTGAAACAAACGAAACTCGTGTCCAATATACAGGGTGTCCGGTAACTAACAGACCAATGATTACAAATGGATTCTTTGGTCAATTTGGGAACGATTTTTCCTCAGCAAAAATGTCGAAAAAGGTCATCATTTTTTACAACTTTCCAATCTTTGTCATTATGTATCTTTATAACTAAGTCTTAAATTAAAATTTTATTATAGTAAACTCTACCTGAAATTAACTGAAGAATGTAATTATGTTAGACTTTTAACTCCAAAACGTTTAGTTTTCAAAAAACCTATTTTTTTCAATCGCTTATAACTCGAAAATTATTGACTTCTCAACATTTTTGCTAAGGAAAAATCGTCTCCAAATTGGCCAGAGAATCCGCCCTTAATCATTGGTCCGTTAGTTACCGGACACCTTGTATATATTATATAAAAGTGTATAGCACGTCAGAAGCTTGTGAGCTTACAGCGATAAGTAAAAACAATTGCGTATTTATTTCATTGCGTTTATCTGTTTAAACGCGCGCTTTAATTTTTCCAACGTTTTTGCCTGTTTATATTTTAAAGGTCCTCTCTTCTAAAAATCTTGTTTTAAAGATCCTCTCCGCGAGCAAAATTCGAAAACATAAATTATTTAATATTTTTACTTTATTATTTGTAAATCCTCGGTAATTTCAAAATTTTTCTATTTGAAAATTATTAATTTTCTATTGCCAATTAATTTTATCACAGACTTTACTCTTACTCCCATTGCACTTTCGTTTGCGGTTTTCAGTATACGATTTTTTATCGTAGTTACTGCAAATTATTATTGTGAATTATACTTGTGCAGTGATTTGAAGAATTTACAATTTCGTTGAAATTGTTGATTTTTCAAAAAAATTACGAGATTCGCGGAAATTGCGTGCTTTCTTGGCATTTTCCGTTCGCGGCAGGCGGTTTATTTTTGATTGTTGCAAGTGTTTTTGTTTTTTTTTTTATTAAAATAGATAATAATAATGTGAAATAAATCACGATATTTGACAGATGTGCATATATATAGAAATTGTAATAATAATAATATTATATCATAAAATTGTAAATTGTTTCAATTTTTTATAGACTGCGATAAAAGATTTTACATTTGGATAAGAAACTGCGGTAAGTAAAAATATAAAATTCTTGAAAACGTACCAAAAATATTTGATAACGTAAAAAGGTGAACTTTGAAAAATAAGGAACTTAAAAATTGCACTAATAAATGGGCTATATGTGAGCCGTGCGCGGATGTAAGGTGTGTTATATCGAAATTTAATTAATAGAATTGAGAATTAATCCCAATTTTAAGTCTTACAAATGTCCAAGCTAATTTTTTGTACCTCGTGTACATTTTTGAAAGTTATATCGAAAAATTAAATTTCAATATGCGTCTTACATCTCACATTTCGCATACGGCTCACATATAGCCTATTTATCTCTTATACTTTATTTCAACTCTTATAGAAATTTATTACTAGTAACGCCAATTTATCACTTATTTCGAGTAATTAATCACTTTTATTTCGAATACTTAAATTACTGTATATTATAGTATTTTAAATACTCAAAATAAGTGATTAATTGGCGTAGTGATAAATTTCTACAAGAGAATAAGGAGCCTTTAAATTCTTAATGTAAAAAATTTCAAGTAATTTTCTTTAATAAAATTTAATTAAAAAATTTAATTAAAAAATTTTTGAACACTGTGTTATATCACATTTAAAATTGTGATTATTTCAATAAAAAAACATTTTATGTGTAAAAAATATATTTTTTATTAAGAGTTTAACTAGGCTCTGTAATATATAAATATAAATTTAACATATATAAGATAGGCAATAAGAGCCAAATCGCGGATGACAGTGCGTTATTCTAAACGAAACTAAATTTTTTCGTTAGAATTAAATACCTGTGCACAAGGCACCAAATTTTTACTTGGACACGGCCAAGATATAAAATTGGAATAATCTCTACAAGAGATTTTTAATTCCATGTATCCCCTATTCCCCCTAAAGAAATAAAGTGCGAGAGAAAAATATAGATCCGAAAGTCGCAGAATCGGGAATCGAACCCGAGACCTTTCGCTTGCCGGGCGACTGCTCTTCCAACTGAGCTATTCAGATCCTTTCGATTCTATACTTTTCTCTGTTATATATATTAATGTTGGTTTATACACGCTGGCTTAAAGGCGTTTATTTACCAACATTAATATATATAACAGAGAAAAGTATAGAATCGAAAGGATCTGAATAGCTCAGTTGGAAGAGCAGTCGCCCGGCAAGCGAAAGGTCTCGGGTTCGATTCCCGATTCTGCGACTTTCGGATCTATATTTTTCTCTCGCACTTTATTTCTTTAGGGGGAATAGGGGATACATGGAATTAAAAATCTCTTGTAGAGATTATTCCAATTTTATATCTTGGCCGTGTCCAAGTAAAAATTTGGTGCCTTGTGCACAGGTATTTAATTCTAACGAAAAAATTTAGTTTCGTTTAGAATAACGCACTGTCATCCGCGATTTGGCTCTTATTGCCTATCTTATATATGTTAAATTTATATTTATATATTTTTTATATTTAATAAATTTTATATATATATATGCATATATGTAAAATATTCTCTCTCTCTCTCTCTCTCTCTCTCTCTCTCTCACACACACACACACACACACACACACAACGGGGGCCAAATCTCTCAAATTGGTCTCATGATCAATTAGCCTGGATTCGCACCAGGGGCAAAGTCTGTTGGTAATGTCAAACGAATTTAGCCTGGACTTGCACCAGGGGCAAAGTCTTTTGGTCGAGTCTACGAAATTTAGCACGGACTCGAACCAGGGGCAAAGTCTTTTGGTTCAAGTCTACGAAATTTAGCACGGACTCGAACCAGGGGCAAAGTGTGTCGGTAAGGGGCAAAGTCTATCGCACGAAGATGGCGGTCTCTTCTTTAGGCAGGCCTTTGGCGATCTGTCTATTAATCTGTGTCGAAATATACGGCGATTGACGAAAAAAAAGGTAATTTGATCGAGAAATTTTTTAAATATTTTTTTCTGCGACTCCGATTCTTTCAAAAATTAAAGTGTGTCCGCAAGTGTATCGTGTGGAAAAGGGAAAAAAATTATATTTACAGATAGGAACGATATATTAAATTCGACCCAAACTAAACAAAGTGTATCGTGTGAGAAAAGAAAAAAAAGAGAATATATAATATTTATAGGATATAAAAATACATCTAAGACCTGTCAGTTTTTCGAAATTTACGACGATTGACGAACAAAAAAGTTAATTTGATCAAGTTTCAAATATTTTTTTTGCAATTGTTCTCCGATTCTTTCAAAAATTAAAAAGTATATACGCAAGTGTATTTTGTGTGAAAAAAGGGAGAAAAAGAAATATATATTTATAAAAGATATAAAAAATAGATCTAAGTTTTGTCAGTTTTTCGAAATTTACGGCGATTCGTGGAAAAAGAATTAAAAAGGTACGCATAAGTGTATCGTATGAAAAAAGGGAGAAAATAAGAGAATATATAATTTATACAGGATATAAAGTAAAAAGAACAGATCTAAAACTTGTCAGTTTTGTCGGGAGATACACAATAATTTTCTTGACGATATTACCATATATATAGTGATTTCCGATTATAAGCACAATTAATCTTGTTTATATACGTAAAGCGAATCGTGTTTATTATAATTCTCAAACAACCGCGTTTGAAGCTTTTTAATATCTTTAATATCAAAAGCTGACTTAATTATCTTAGGCAGTGTATAAATTTACTTGAGAAGATTTGCGGAAAAATATTTGCGAGGTAAACAAGTTTGCTGTTTCAACCGAAGAAAATGAACGTATAATCAGAATGTTCCGTGTAATGTTAATAAACTTTTAAATTAACTAAATAAAAAAAAAATTAAAAATTGTCATATATTTTGATGTAAATGTAAAGATTCCTAATAATTCTATAACTATTGTATTTGTATTTAAAAAATGCTGGATAAATAATAATGTATCCTATAATCAATTAAATTATTTACATGAATAAAATTAATATATATTAATATAAAAACATAAAAAATATTTTTATATAAAGATCAAGAAAATATATTTATAGTATCATTGATGATATATATAGTATGATCAATGATATGTGTGTGTATAGCATCAAGATATTTGTATTTGAGAAACAAAAAATAGTATAAATTTCAGTTTACCTACGTTGATTTCTAAAATTCCAATTTGATCATTTTTGATCGTAGTGGCAATTTTCACAAAATAATTCTAATACTTTCGTCAAACAAATAAATAAGAGAAGGATTGAATAAATGCAATAAATAAGAGAAGAACGATTATGAATGAACGTCATTCGTAATCAGAGATTAATAAATAATGTATAGATTAATGACGGAAGTGAGAGAACTAGAGATAGAGAGAAGATAGAAAAATGGATGTATGTCGTGATTTTTCCGATTTGCAAATACATCATGAATATACATGTATAATCTCTCAGAATTTGCGCTTTGTCATTTTCGAGACAATAAATAAACGTAAAGAAAAAGAAAAAAGAGAACAATTACGTTAATATGACGGCTCTGTATATAGAACTTAACTCGACATCGAACATAATAGAAATTGCGTGCTTAATCCAGTTTGACGTCACGGATCGTACATTACTTTAATTTAAATTAAGATAGCAAATACGGAGTTTCTCTCAAGTATCATATATACATAACACACTCGTTGAGAGATAAATGAATAGGGTCGCGAGTTCGATGTTTTAAGTGGAAATAATAAAAAGAAAACAGCGCAGTTATTAACTGCTGTAAAAAAATAGCGCTCGAGAAAAAGGAACTCTTGAATACTTTGCAAATGCTTTTGTTTAATATATATACTTGTTAACTAACAATAGCTAAACATTTCTTTCGTAAGCGTTTTGTTGTTCCAAGGAATACCGAAATGTTAGACAGTTCACGATAGGAAAACATGATTGACCAAATGATTGAAAATAAGTAAATATAAAGATAACGATATAAAGATAATTTCGACTGGTTTTCCTGACAATGACTCGTTGGGTACATTGTATATATAGTATTGACAGATACTTTTCGTTGCACATTTATAAGCGAGCCTTGCTTTCAGAAACAAGATCTCCGCGTTAACAGTGTATTTATATTTTGATTTATAGTGACTCCTTGAAGAACTGGTGTATATAAGGATTTCCTGCCCCAGAAGAACTTGTATGTACGTACTACATGAAAAGACCCGAAGTTTATTCAGTTCATTTAGTTAATCATCTTTGTGCGGAGTTGATGAAGAGAATTTCAGTAAACATTGAAATTGGTATCGCTAACGACGGGAAGCTAACGATACTTCATAACATGTGCTCAAAGATTCGTATTGTTCTAAATATCACATCATTCGAAATTATTTAAAAATATAAAATTATTTCCAAATTATATAGCATATAATCCCAGACAGCAGCAAAATTGAAACATGTCGAAAATTGGGACATGAAACGTCTTTAAGATATCTTTTAGATATCATATCATAAGATGTCTCCTTCTTCTTAAAGACTTCTTCTTAAAGACTTCTTCTTAAAGATGTGTCCCAATTTTGGACATGATGCTGCGTGGGAATAAATCACGTAAGAAGTGAACATTTAGGTCGATTTGATAATTAAGATTAATTCAGAGTGAATAGATTATTTCGATCGATTATTCATTTGTCAATTCTCTATCTAACATAGATTTTCAAATAATCTCAAAGAGCTACTGTGCATCGATACAATTTTTTTGAGGGATTAAAGTCGTGATTGGACGATCAGATCCAAGTATGTCGCGAAACAATAAGAGAGAGGGAATCGTGTGCTCTTACGAAAATCGTGCTCGTAACGACTATTATCTTCCCGCGAGCCTCTTATTCGGCTATTAAGAGGGCAACGATAGCGCAAGGGAGAAGGAAACGAAGATCGTCAAGCAAAAAATTGCGATCACTTTGTGATCGGCACCGAACGACGTCGATTACCGCCGTTTTAGCGACAGTGGCGCGTGCGCTGGCTGGCAGTTGAAAAACTGGTGGAGGGAGAGTGAGTTAAGTCAAGGATGGCTGATATAAAGTTCGCGAGTTTATAAAACAGAGATCAACTTGCTCCAAAACCCAGTTTTCCAATCGACCGCGCGAGCGGATCAGCCGCGCAGAAACGATAATAGGGCGATTATCGGCGGCAGTTTTGAGCCCGACGATATATCGTCAGTCATTCATTCCACCCGCCGAGACAGGAAGAAATCAGTCGGATTAATTGTATATTAAGAAAAAAGAGAAAGAGAGAGATATATAGATAGATAGAGTGAGTTGGAAATTTTTCAATTTACGTTACGACTCACACACACACACACACACACACACAACACAATCGCGGGATATCGTTCACCCTAAACTTACGATAAACTTTTTTTGGTTTCTTGATCCTTTTTAATCATCGACTGTAATTTGGATCAAGCAAAAAAGAAAGATACATTTATCATTTCGATAAAGCCATGCTATATGAGAAGTAACAGTTATTGAATCCGCTATCTGCGCTCGCACCTTACAAAATGATATGAACACACGGTATACTTTTATTTAAAAAATAAAAATAAAAACAGAGCTCTCGTATGTAGTAATTACATGATTGCGTAAGTGCAATGAATGTCCTTATTTTGCAAGTTGCTCCGAAAGAAAGAAAGTAAAAACTGCATTTACGTCGAGGTTTTAAACTCTCTTTCATTACAGAGCCTTTGATCGTCATATATATTATGTATAAATCTCGTGTTTACCGAAATGGCAGCGACATTTCGCCACGAGACAGCGGATCCGAGAGCACGCCGTTCCTCTCTTCGGAATCTCGCACAAGTCTAGAACTGTCGACGATATCCGACGATTTGGAAACGAGCGACTTAGATCTGAGCCCGACCAGTTGTTCCTTCAAGTACGGTATCTCTCTGTTCTTTCTCTCTTTTTCTTTTTTTAATATACAAATTTTTTATATAAATATTATATTTATATTATTTATAGGAGATACATACCCGTGACTTGTGTTGACATATCTTCGTTGTCTTGCCTAGATACGGGAGCATCGAAGCCGCTAGTTATAGCACAACCCTAACAGCTGTATCAAAAAGGCCGCCCTCTCGAACACAAAATAACGAGTTGTACCTTTCAGCAGCGGCGCATTCGCCTTGCATCGCGAATCTCGTCCACGAGAAGAATTACGAGGCGCGGAACATTGACCTGGTAAAAAAAGAAAAAAATTACAGTATAAAATGAAAAAAATTAAATAATGATATATTTACACTCAGAGAGAATTTTCTCTTAGAGTTTATCCTGAAAATCATGAAAGTGGGACAATCCGATATTGGAAGAGTTTTATAAGACGTTCGATTAATTTTACTACACTGAAAAAAATTATTTAATTAGTCAAATAAATATTTATTTCAATATTCATTTACACATCATTTATTTGAAACTAATAATATCGATTTGCCGTGAAAAAAATATTTATTTGATGTAAGAAATCCTTTTTCAGATAAATATTTAAATTCAATAATTTTTTTCAATGTATGTACATAGTAAAATTAATCGAATATATTTTATATCTTATTATGGTAGATATTAACATTTTTAATTGTGGTAAAAATATTAATCAGAAACTTATAAAATTTTTCCAATACTATATATTGTCCCACGATTACCACGAGTTTCAGAATAAATTCTAAAAAAAAATTCTGTAAAAAAAAAAATATATATATACATAAAATAGCAATATAATTGATAAAAGAAAATCGAGAAGAGATCGCGCAAATGCAAGAATGCAGTATCATCAAATTGTTTTTGCATGCATGTGTATCGTTTCTTAATTCCTTACAGATATTGACGAATGAAAATGCCGATCCGAAAAAAGCATATGGAATAGACTTTAAACCTGGATCGTTACAATTTCAACCCGACATGGTGCTCGCATCTTGCAAGGACCTCAAGCCGAAGCAAAATTCACTGGTCACCATGTGAGTATATTTTATATATGGAATTGTCTTTGACGCATAGGAGATATTTTTAGAATGGCGTTAATATATTTATGCAATGATGATTGCACTATGTGCGATAATCAACCGTTTTCTTAAAATCAATTGAATTACCCCGAGCGATAGATCACGCTTTCGTTATATATACACAAGTTCCGAAGTTTCAAATTCAATAGATTAGAGAAGAGATTACACGATTTATCTATTATTTGAGTAAATAAGTATTTCAAAACTCGTCAAACTTCAAACTATTTAATAGTATATATTTTTAAAATTATATATCATTATTTTTATTATCGATAAAATATTCATTTTAATATATTTCTGCATTAATACTCGATTCGTAATTTTCGAGAGCTCGTAATATAAATAAATCTCCATAATAAAATTAATTTTATAATTAATTAAAATTAATATAATTAATATAATTAAATATTTTAACATTTATCAATACTTGAATCTATTATGTAAAATGGAATGACTCCGATTCTTCCTCTATGTCAAATGATTTAAAGGCCTTTTTTCTCGTCATAGAATCATCTGATTTTGCAATATAGACACACGAAGGGAAAGAAATAGAAATAGAGATCGATACAAGGTATTTTATCTCGTATTGTTTATCGTATTTCTGCTTGTATATTCTGCGATACATAGCGTGTATCGCGGGTCTTTTTTGCTTTTTTACGTGTTATGACGCACTCGTTTATCTCCCATAGATGGCTGATGGCAATGGGCTCGTAACTTGCATCAGCGCATCTTGGAAATTGATTTCTTCTTCGCTGATACCGTACATAAGGGGGCGAAATTGTGTATGACAGTGCTATATTTCAAACATTATCGCGTTCAAGTAATCTTGTGTTTTAAAATGTGAGAGCGCCGTTAAGATAAGAATAGTTGCATAAAACGACAATTAATTAATAGCTAATTATATCTGTACTGAAAAACAACGCATAGATTTCGAAAATAGCAACGTTTTTCCAAAAATAATCCTTTATGTCACGGAAAGTTATATACATTAATTTGTAATTTGAAAATTTATATATATATATATATATATATATATAACTTTTGTATAAAACATTTTTTGAAAAAAACCTTGATTTTCGAAAAATTTCAAACCAAAAATTAAAATGAAACATCCTGCATATTATAATATTCTGTGTAACATATAAATAAGAAAATGTAAAGAAATTATTTATTTATTAAAATAAAAATTTATATATAACCCTTTTAAATAATTTTAAAATTTTATAAAGGATTGTATATAAATTATTTTAATAATTATTTTAATAAATAAATAATTTCTTTATATTTTCTTATTTATATTTGTTACACAGAATATTATATATGCAGGATGTTTCATTTTAACTTTTGGGTTGAAATTTTTCGAAAATCAAGGCTTTTTTTCGAAAAATCTTTCACACAAAAGTTGTAAGATTTCAAGGGGAACATCTTGTTGTAAATATAGTCTTATTCGAGGCAGAGGTATTTTCGAAATTTTGAGATCATTTAATTATTTTTTTTAAATGAAACCACTATAATTTTTTTACACAAATCGACTTCTCGTAATATTTAGCGTAAGAAATTGTTAGAGTTGAATAGTTGAAAAATTAATGGTTTAAGAGATATTTTATACTTCACCCTGACACATTTTGATAAAAAATATGAAATATCTAACTAATGTAATATATAACTCACGAAAATCTTATCTTAATAATTTTCTGCATACAATAATGAGATAAATCAATTAGTGCAAAAAACATTGTTATTTAAAAAAAATAAAGTTGCAAACTACAAAATTTTTTTTTAATTATAAAATATATTTTTCTTACACCAATTGATTTGTTTCATTCTTCTACGCAAAAAATTATTAAGTTTTTTTATTAAAAAAATGAATATGTTAAAAGTTATTTTTTGTAAAAAGATATTGGGATAAAGCATTATCTCGTTAATCATTCATTTTTCGATTATTCCACCTTAACAATTTTTTACACTAAATATTACAAGGAATCGATTTATGCAAAAAATTTATAGTGGTTCTGTTAAAAAAATAATAATGATCTCGGAATCTCAAAAATGCCTCCATTTGGAATAAAACTATGCTTATGACAAAATGTCCCCGTCGAAATTCTATTTTGTTTGAAACATTTTTTAAATCCCTTGATTTTCGAAAGATCTATATAATTTTATACAAGCTTATATATAGATAAAAAGTGTATACGAAACCTCGCATACTCGTTATATTTTTATTACAGGAAAATTTTAATCTGAAAGTTAAAATAGGAAATCCTGTGCATATTTTATTATAAAATCCGTAATATTAATTTAAAATTAAGAAAAATCCAGTCAAATTTTTTAATAAGATTTCATCTTTACGTTGTATCAAATAATTTTAATCTTTATTTGTATGAGAGTAGAATTAAAAAATAATTTCTTTACAATTTATTATACAAAATCCATAATGTATTTTAATATTTTAAATTAAGAAAAATCTAATTAAATTAAAAAAATCTATATAATTTTATACAAGCTTATATATAGATAAAAGGTGTATACGAAACCTCGCATACTCGTTATATTTTTATTACAGTGAAAGATAAGGGGAAACGAATCGATGTGTCGTAATTATTTTTTTTTTTTTAATTTCACGTAAAAGCATCGGTATCAGCATAAACAATTTATGAGCTTCCATAAAATTAAACATCTCACGTCAAATCAATCAAAATGCGAGATAATGCACGTACTTATGAAAGAGAAATAATATAATCGGCATCTAACACACATATACATATAATACACACGTATATATACATATAACCGCTACACGTGTGACAGATATAACCTAAATATCTGCACACGCTAGACGCCGAATGAACGATAACGTTTGACACTTGCTATTCGGCTACTCGCTTCAATTTTGGAAGAACCAGAGAGAACTTGACTCACCATTTTGCGAAATCTCCCATCTTTCGTCACGCATCCTTCCTCCGATATCGAATCCCAAAGACCTCTCTCTCACTCGTTCAGCTCTTTCGTTCCCGCGTCCAGAGAACGAGCGTCGAAGACGTCGCTCCGGGTTCTCTCCTCCACGTCCATCCGTTCGCGCGGGAGTTCCGGCGAACGTGCACACTTGGATCCTCGATCGAGGGGTTCAGGCGAAAGGAAAAACGCGGCGCTCGTTTTCGAGACGTGGGAACGAAAGGTCGCCTCTCTTCTCGCGGCCGAGCGCGGCGATGCGCGCCGCGCGATGTCCCGGAACGTCTACGGCGCGGCGCGACAGGACGCCCAAGGGGTTACCGCTCTGTCTGTTGCCCGGGCAACAGACGACCGCCCCGCCGTAGGTGAATGCCCTTAGCCGCGACGATCCGCCACGCCGCGCGCCGAGCTCCCGTTTCGCACATCCCGGGCACATTCTGCAGGCGCGAGAGCGCCGCAATTTCCAGAGAAACTTTGTTTCCTAAATCATCCTTTACGTTTATGACGATCGGACAAACGTGAAACCTTACCCAAAAATTAGACTGGATGTTTCTTTATTTTATATGAAAATTTATCAACACGCGAATCTTGTAATAAATTTTTAAACAATTTTTTAAATTCTACTCTTAAAAATAGGGATTAAAGTTATTTGATACAGTGCAACGATGAAATCTTATCAAAAAATTAGACTGGATTTTTCTGAATTTTAAGATTATGTCATGGATCTTTTGTAATAAATTCTAAAATAATTTTTTATTCCATTCCTAAAAAAATAAAGATTAAAATTACTTAATATACAACGCGTAAAGGTATAAAATCGAAATTATTTGTATTATTACTGATTTTATGATGCATGAAAAAAATAAATATGTATTTTTACGAGCGAGATAAGATTGTCATTCACCCATATATGGAATAAATATATAAAATTAGGACGAAAGAAAGAAATATATATACGTTTAGTGACGTTTGTGAAATCGGATGTTGTGCATTCATTTCAAAGTTCATCTTGGCGAATATTCTGAAAATAGGTGATTATCTCGGTCGTAAAAAAGCCATATTTGCAAAATTGCTCTGGTCACAAGATGATGAATCAAGTTCAATCGATATAAATATATGTATTATAAATGAGATAATTCTCCCAAAATATAGAGATACGACGATAATGCACATTCTAATGCGTAACGCGGATCTTTCGAAGAAATAGAGATAGGGAATATATTTACGAGCTCGAACGTTCGAGTACAAAGTATAATCAATTATCGGGAGAAATGTTTGCGTATATACGCGAAAATAACGTATATGCATATTATATATATCAAAGAGGAAATAACTGATAAGCGATAAACGAGATGTCTCAATCATTATCATAAATTTAGAGATTCTATGACGAGAATTTGCGATCTTTTTCTTCTCTAATATTCGCGATTATTAAACGTCGTTTAATAAATTAAAATTATGAAATAAATTTAGTCAAAAATACGAATTCTATACAATAACGTAATATTATTATATGTAATAATATGTATATAATAATATTCAGCATTGTGATAATATGATAAGAATTTAGGTATTAATTTATATATATCCTTTTATATCTTTTTAGATTTTCAATATGGAATACGATATTAGGATCGTCGTTATTGACTATGCCATGGGGAATCGCGAAGGCCGGATTATTTCCTGGGATTATCCTTAATCTACTGATGAGCGGTTTATGTCTATACACAGCTTATCGTCTCATAGCTGCACACGCGTATCATGGTAAGAGAGATAATCTTTCTCTGTGAAACAACAGATTATAACTTACCGATATAATGTTACAAATCAGCCGTTTGTATTTCCAAAGGTGGAGGAGACAATATAGAAGTCCAAAACTTGAGTCGAATATATCTCGGCAAATGGGCGGAATATATTGCCAAAATCTTTAGTATTGCCGTATTGTTGGGCGCAACTATAGCTTATTGGGTGTTGATGGCTAATTTCTTATACAACAGCGTAAATTTTATTTACGGTGAGGATCCTCGGTTTAAACATTAACATATGAGAGATTGCTTATCCTTATGAAAGTCCTTTGAATCGTCCTATAATAAAGTACGTCCGTTTTGCAGATAGTATAGCTGGTTGGCCGACACATTCTGTACCTGAAAACATTTCACACACAGAAGGTAAATGTAAAAAGTAAAAAAATTTACTTTAGCTTGTTCGAGAATAACAAGTGCTTTTTACACATTACTGATTGATATTTTTGTTTTAATTAGTCTTATGTCCGAAGAAAGAAACCCAAGATAACGACACAATTATAATACACGAGAAGACATTTGATGCATTGGGACCAGCATGGGACTTACGCAACACAGTTCCTGTGTTTTTAGCTTTACTGATATTTCCGTTACTAAATTTTAATAGTACGACATTTTTTACAAAATTTAATTCTCTTGGTGAGTATGCGTGGTATTAGTCACACTTTCATATCTGAATATCTTCATTCAATAGTAATAAATTACATGTTACAAATATAGTTCTAATTTATTGGAAATTATTATTAAAATCTTTATTATTATTATAAAATTGTAAATCTTCATAGGAACGGTATCAATTATATATTTGGTTATCTTCATTGTGATAAAATCTTCATTATGGGGTATTAATATGGACCCAACCGAATGGGCAACAAGTTGGGAGATACAAGATACATTTCCAGCCCTCACTGGATTGCTGGCAATGTCGTTTTTTATCCATAATATTATAATCAGTGTAATGAAAAATAATCGCAATCAAAAGAATAATGTAAGTTTAAATTCTTCAAACTTTCTTGTTGAATATCTGTGCATATCAGATAGAAATGGGTTTATTTTTAGGGAAGAGATTTAACTATAGCGTATATCCTCGTCACGTTAACTTACATCATCGTTGGAGTAGCATTTTTCATATGCTTCCCTCTGCAAAAGTCATGCATAGAAGATGTAAGTACATATATGCAATATTTAAAAAAAATAATATTTAATATACTATAATATGATAGAAAAGTTGTGTTAATATGCTCTCTAAATTGGAATTCTTTATTCCACAGAATCTATTGAATAATTTTCAAAAATGGGATGGCTTTACAATAGGTGCACGTATATTACTACTTTTCCAATTAATGACTGTCTATCCTTTATTAGCTTTTATGCTACGTGTGCAATTGCTCTCATCGATATACAAAAGCTCTAGTAGGAGTTTAGTGCTCATCATTAATCTTGTGTTAGTTTTTATATGTATTTTGTTCGCGACTTTTATGCCTTATATCGGAACTATCGTTAGATATACAGGTGCTTTAAGCGGATTCATCTACGTTTTCACTTTACCAAGTTTATTGCATTTGTCGATTTTAAAAAAAGAAAAAAGTTAACTACATGTTCTCTATTAATCCATTTAAGCATACCTGTTATTGGAATTACCAATCTCATTGCTCAATTTTTCATTACAGATCATTGATCACGTTAAAATCTTAATATTTGTGATAGGGTTTATGATACTTAAAATTAATATATATATATATATATAAAAGTAATTGTATGCATTGTCATATATATTTTAAGACATAAAATTCTATACAGCTTTGAAATCACATTAAGAAGAAACAAAAAAAAACATTAAATGTAAAATGTGATTTGACATGTATTGAATAATTGATTTAGCAAAAAATTTCGTAAAAATTGAAAATTGTATTAGAATATAAGAAACCATTCCTAAGATTAAACGTATAAGTTTATCATAGTAGATATAATATAATTTATTCAATGTTCAAGAGAAATAAAGAGAAACATACATGTCAACTTGGTAAAAATGTAAATTAATTTTTTTATAACTAAAATTGCTAATGTAAGTCTTGTTCTGTAAATGTAATATTAAATATGCAACAATTATCTCTACATTTGCTATTACAATTTATTCAAGAAATAATATTACTAAAAATAATACCTTTGTGATCTCACACAATTCAACTTTAACGTATTTTGTAAACCCAAACAGTGTCAATTCCATGTCCAATCGTCGTAATAGGACGTGTATTAGGAAGAGGATATCTACATGCAATTACAAGGGAATCTTTGTACAATTCGCTATTAAATTTTTTTTCGATATCTTTCATCTGTAACAAACAATATGATTGTATAGTATACATATATTTTTATAGCATCTAGATAATCATAATAAATATTAAAAAATCTTACCATTTCATCTACACCAAATATAACAACATTATCATATTTTCCCAAATTATATTTCCATAAATCTTGCTTGAAAAAGGCAGTATTATTTGATAGACCGCTAATCAATGCCTTAAACTTTGAATACCATACTAGCCAGGTATTCAATTCAATACCATGAGCTTTAAAACCGTGCTTTGCTGCTGCAAGAACCTATTTTTAAATTAAAAATGATTTAAATTAATTTGAAATATATTTAAATTATTTTTTACTATGTTAAGAATAAAACATTTATCCTGCTTTATTTTATTTATTATAACATTAAATGTTTTATTCTCACAAGTCATAATTATAAAAAGTATTATCAGACTCACAATACGTCCATCTCCACTACCAAGATCAATTAAGGAACCAGAGCGACTGTTTAATGCTTGAATAACATTTTTTACTTGTTGATGTGTGGCTGGTACATATGGCAAACATATTTTACGAAAGGCAGGGCTTATAAATGGAAAGCACACAATACTAATCGCCGTTGCAATTCCACCTAATAATGCATAATAGACAAATGTAAAAATAATATTTTTGTTATATATGAAATTAGCATTAAATCATTGACACATAAATAACAAACCTGTAACTGCAATAAAAAATAAGCCAATCTTTGATGATCTTTGTGATGTACTGATTTTTACATCATCTTTTTTGACAGAGAAATTTTCCATTATAATATATCCTGTTATTTAACATAACTTTATGTGAAGTGTGAAGTAAAAATTCAGGCACCGAATGATTGTTTTAAAATATCAAATATGAATATGAATAGAACTTGAAGCTATCATTTTACAATGATGTTTTAAATTTCGCATATAGTCAAAGACTCGTCCCCACAAACGAAAACCACGTGCTAAATTACTAAACAAAAATTGGATTGCGATCAGCTGATCGCTGGCGCGTTACGTTTATCGCAGATCAAGTTAGGTTATCACTCGCCGCGATCTTATTTACGCAATATATTACATCAAATATACATTCTACTTTATCTGACAATCAGTGTACAATTACTGAATTACGTATTATAATTGTGTAAGCAATTTCAAAATATTCCCTTTCGAAGAAAGTGATATGGCGAAGTCTTTGAGCGCAAAAATCGGTCCCTCGATTTTGAACGCTGACTTGGCACAACTTTATGAAGAATCACAAAAATTACTCGACAATGGCGCAGATTATTTACACTTGGACGTGATGGATGGTCATTTCGTTCCTAATCTCTCATTCGGTCATCCGATTGTAAAGTGTCTTCGTGGTAAAATAAAAGATGCCTTCTTCGAGACACATATGATGGTGTCTAATCCGGAGCAAGTATGTAAGAGTTTAACAATGTTAAGACAAATATTTTTTTTCAAAAAATGCTTAAAAATATAAATTTTTATATGAAATAAATAAATCTATATAAAAGAAAACTAAATGAATAATTACAGTGGATTGAGCCCATGGCTGATGCTAGTGTGGATCAATATACATTCCATGTCGAACCAGTAAAAGATGTTCCTTTAATCTGTAGGAAAATAAAGGAAGTAGGAATGAAGGTAATGCTATCTAAAAATTTATATATTTTAAGTGGAATATTAATGGATTATGAATTACTTTCAAAATAGGTTGGTGTGGCACTTAAACCAGGAACACCTGCAGATGCGATAATAGATTATGTCGATCTAGCTGATGTGGTCTTAATAATGACTGTGGAACCTGGCTTCGGTGGGCAGAAATTTATGGAACCAATGTTACAGAAAGTTGCATGGTTGAGGGAAAATTATCCTGGATTGGACATTGAGGTAGATGGTGGAGTTGGACCAAGTACAATTGAAGCCTGTGCAAAGGTATAATTGAAGATTATTTCAATATGTAAATAATTTTATCAAGAAAAGCATTAGTTAATCTGAAATTATATTATCAACAAATTATACATCAATTATATTATTTTTTTTAGGCTGGTGCTAATATGATTGTGTCTGGCACAGCTGTCATAGGTTCTACTGATCAAGCTAAAGTAATTACAACTCTTAGAGATACAGTAAATTGTTATTTGAGTCACAGTCATGCAAAAAAATAGCTACAATTGAAAATATTATAAATATGGAAAGCATTTTTGAGAAAACATTTAACATTTTTATAAAAATATATATGTATAAAGCTCTATTCTTGATATAAAAACAGTTGTGACAAAATTCAATATAATTTTAAAGACAAAAATACTTATCTGTTTCTATTATTATTTATTTTAAGAAGTGATTTCTTTAGGCACTAATTTAGTTCTTAATTCAGCTAGAGTCAAAAGAATAGCTTCTTCTGTTCTAATTGTTCGTGATCCTTGTTCAGGACATGTGTTCACATATTTATGAAATATCAAGGATGGATCGTCGACGTCTAAATTTGGATCCACGTCCACGGCGGCTTCTAATCCGTTGAGACCTCCAAATACTATAAGACAATGTCGATATTCTAAACTCTTCGTTTCTATTTCATCAATCAATGTTCCCTTGTCGGATGTTCCAATTGTCAAGTCGTATCCTCCCTTATACTGACAATTTGTCAGCACTTCTGACAAATGCTTGACTAGTTTGACTGTGTAGCCCCAATAGATTCCAGTTTCTGCACGTGGTACATTAGGCGCTACAATGATACCCTTCAATTTCTTTGGATTTGGTTGTTCTGCTGGTATCTTAACCGTCACCCTTAATCCAGGCATCAGCACCTTATCCACGTGAACTTCGTTCAAGAGTCCTACGTTCACCTGAGATCCTTTGCCGATCTTTATAGGTTTATTAGTAACTATCCCCTCTCGATACAGAGAAGTTTCTTCCTGTCTCAGATGATGTGGCGTATCCAAAGGATTCAACAGCCCTGCATACTGCAAGTTCTTGTGAAGTGGAAAGAAGTACTTCCTCAGATACTGCGGGCATTCCAAGTACTGCAGTATCCTGGCCAATTGCAGGCATCCGATCCTAGCCTCGCCCAGCGCATCGTCCTTCCTAACTTTTTTTCTCTCGCTCTCCGTAACGTCACCCTTGTCGTCGAACACTATGATTTCGTCGACCTTATAAATACAGGCTGTGCGCGCGATCTGTCCCGCTAGGTATGCTCGCAGCTCCGAGCTCTGCGCGTTATCAAGGATGGATCCTGGCACCGCGATGCTGATAGTACAGACGTTCTTCCGTTCGCACTTGACTCGCTCCACGTGCTCCAACTCGTCCTTCGACTGCCTCTCGAGTTCCTCCTTCTTAAGCCTCTTCGCCAGTTTCTCTTCCCTCCATTGTTTTCGTAGCTCCTTCCGCTTGCGATTGTATTCCTTCCAATTTTTTAATTCCGGCTTCGCCGCCGACATTTTTTTTTTTTTAATTCTTCCAAATTCGAATTTTCCAATTTTCTTGCAACGTTTGCTGTTAATAAGAGATAACCTAAAATGTCAAACGTCTTAGCATGCGCATGACAGTAGCATAAATATACATGCAAGTATAAGGAAAATTTATTTAAGAAAATATTTACCGCCGTTGAACAATGTGCACACATCTAATTTGCTAATTCCAATTATTTTTAATACACATTTTGCATTTTATTCCCACATTGAATTACGCGCCGCATCTTATTGTTGACCGTCGACGTTGATGACCACGTGACCGCGCGATCGAGATATCTCGAACGATCGATCGTTTCGATATATCCCGACCGCCGCAGTTCTTCGATAGATTTCGAATCGCGTCAGATATCAGACATAAAATTCGCTGCCGCGAGTCACGTTCGAGTCCGCACATTTTTACACTCACGTTCACATTTTCACGCGTAAAAGTGTGTTTTTGTGCATAGAAAACATCGACGCAGCTTATTGCATCGCGAGCTAACCGAGTATTCGATTGAAAATGAGAAAATTCTGACATGTCATTTCTGACATTGTCTGTATCGGACAACTTCGCTAAAGTGTGACACCTTATAATTACGCAATTCGGGATACCTCGTCGATTTCTCAACATCGCTGCTGCTCGATTCTAGTCCACTCGACTTTTATTATGAAGTGTCGACTCGGCAAATTGCGCTGACACTTGAAAGCGTTATTGACGAAAGTCCCGAAGTAATACAGTGTGACAAAGTGTGGTAGAATGCCGAAAGCCAAGTGTGAGTATCTGACAGTGTAAAAATTCGCAAGTTTCAATGTTTATTTTACATAATTTTTCTACAATCGCAAATATTGTGTGTGGCTCTTATAAAAGTTCTTATCAGATATTCTTATCAGTCATTATTGTTATCAGTTAATTTGTCTGCGCGAAACAACATGAAAATATTTATGTAAATAAAGAAATATTGCGAATATATATTCTTTTATAAAAATATTTATATTTTCACACGGAAAAAAACTGATAAGAACTTTTTATAGAATCATTTAATACATAAAAGAAAACTTAAAAGAAAAGTGGAATATTTTCAGATCTTGACGAGGACAGACTTCCTTTTTTTCTGGATGAGAGCGAGGCTAAGATTGTTGATCTTCCGTACATGTACTTCGAAGGCCCGATTCAGGGTGCTCAGTATAATTCACCGATGCTCAAAGGTGTCGCACATCAGTTAAGAAGATGGCCGAACGATCTGTTCTCCTCGTTTATAGCAGCGTGTCTCATCATTAGCGGCTTGGTCCTTTTTGCTTTCATCACGGCAATATTTTGCACACCGGTAACAAGCAATGATAATTACTGGTACGTATTAATCATTATCAAGGATTATTTTAATACTTTCAAAAAAGTAAAAATTATTTAATTTTAATAATATATGTAGAAATCAATTTTAATATTTATTTCAATAATATTATATTGTTTACAATATTTTAAATTATTTATATTTAATGTAATAATTAAATAATAATAATTAAATATAATTAAATATAATTATTTATATTTAATAAATTATTTTAATAATATTAATTTTAATAGAATAATTTATATCAAAACATATTGCACACGTAAAATATTTTGTATCTTTTTTATGAATTGACAAATATGTAAATACTAATAATGACAATCTATATTAATATTTTAGTGAATACAATATGTTGGAAGACGAGCATTCATTCAATGTCTATTTCGTGAAGGAAGCTGGGCAAGTCTGGTCCAGAAAAGAATTCTGCTATATCGAGGCTGCGGCGAGAGAACAACCCGATTTGAACGTATGTCAACATTTTTAAATTTTTTATTAAAGATTTATTTAAAAGTAATTTATTTATTTTTGTATTGGTAAAATATTGGTTTTAATACGCTTTATATAGAGTAAATATTTTCTATGAGAGATATGGAAATTTTACAAACTCTGACAATATTGATTTTATCTTTTAAGAAAAACATAAGTAGTCGATCATATTATGAATTCTCCAAGTAGCAAATGCATATTATTTGACGTAAAAATAACGAGAGCTTATCACATGAATTTTTTTCCTTTTTCTCGTCATAATAACAATGTTATCTTTGCACATCAATTTAATAAAGTATATATCTTTGTAGATACATTTGATTAATTTGATGCGCACTTCCGATACATTAAATATTCCGGAAGCTCATATTAAAATGGCACTAGCTACTCAAAATACCAATATTCACATAGCCGATTTATCGATTGACGAATTCTTCAGCAAGTAATTATATAACACTAATTAATAATATACAATATCACTAGCGGATCCTGGAATTTTGGAAATTAAAAAAATTTGTCGTTGATTCTGGAGTAAAAGCTAAACATGAAACAAAAAATATTAATTAAATAATTTTGCAGGACCCTCCCTCTTATTGATATCAGGATCCGATAGTATACAATATAATTCTTAACATGTACACTCAGAATCTATACAGGGTATTTTTCTCTCCCTGTAAAACAATGTTTATAGTATAATATATACTATACATATATTTTATTATTGCGTGTGAAAAGTAGCTCAATACTTTGACGGCCGTTCTTACATGTGTGATTTAGTTCTGCCAGCGATTTATCGGCTGATGTCACGTATTCGTGATTTTCCTTGTAAAGCCTCTTATCTTCTTATGCAGCACAGTTATTTCATGTTTATTTAAATTTGTACTATTTTTTGTTATAAGATTTACGGGACTATATTTAATATATTTATATATTTTTATAATAAAACTGTTTCTTTTAGTTTAACTTTTATCAATCTAAGAAAGTATTTTGTTTTTTTTGCATCAAAACCACAGATATTTATATACTATTACATTAGACATCTGTAATCAAATCATTCAGCCAGTTTTAATTCAAAAATTTTCAGAGTCTATAAATTTAGCATTTTTGCATGTGTATAAATATTATAATATTTAAATAATAGTAATTTTAATGATTTTTAAGCAACGAATACATATAAGTTTTTGGCGAAAAATATCAACGACAAACAAAAGCTTTTATGCAAAAAGTACGGCCATCAAAGTATTGACAAGAAATTAGTACATAACGAAGAAACATTACTCTGTAATTCTCAATTATATTTTAAAATTATGAGGTCAAATTTATCGAACATTGCGAAAAGTTTGAGCAATGGATTGTTGCTGATGGCAGCAAGAGCATATTTACTCTGGAATTCTCCCGGAGTCGCTATGCATCCTAGTGCATATTGCAACCTGTCGAGTATCAATAAATTTCGGTGGAGGTAAGTGCGACGATTATAAATAAATAATAATGAATAATTGATAATCTCTTTTAAGTGATTCTATTTTATTCCTGAAGTAAGGAAGAGAAACGAAATTACACGCCTAACAAATTGTTCACGATTGATCCGACAATCGATTTGCAAGCAACAGGAATACAATGTCAAGCATTTTTAGGATTTTTATTACAGGAAATATCAAAAAATGCTACGCAAATTTATAATTTAAAAGATGTTTTGCATAAATTTTGTCCAAGGTATTTACAGTTAAAAATTATCTAAATTTTTCTTTTTATTTTCTATAAATATTTTAATAGAGATGATAATATAGTTAATAATAAATACAAAATATATATAATATAATAATAATGTGATAATATAAATATATAACACATATAGGATATATTGTAACATTTATTATACACTTTTATATTTTTTAGAATTGATAAGTGTCCTGAAGTACAAATACTTGATTTAAAATCACGATGTTCCGTCAACGTTCTCGACTGTCCTACCGTCCTACCAACTAGAAATTTTTAGAAATTATATATAACTAAAGATCTTGTTTTCTCTCCTTGTAAAGGAAAAGTTCAATATAACTGGACCTGAAAATTAAAAAAATAAAAATGAGAAAAAAAACGTGATATTTAGATTTTTATACTAAGAATTTACGAAAGATGATAAGATTTTACGAAATTAAAAGATAAGACAAAATTATATAGAAAAGAAAATATATTCTTCTTTAATTTAAATACTGCTGCAAATTTTGTGAAAAAATGTGTATGATATATACAGTACAGAATACAAGCTATATATATATATATATATATATATTTGTGCATTATACTCATCGTTTTGATGTCTGTCATTTAATCAGTAATTATTGAAATTTTCGATACTCGTAGAGTCGCAAAACACCCAGCCACGTCCAGATTTCTGCCACTAAATAAAATATAAAAGACTCAATGTATATAGTAGCATTTACTATACAATTTACAATGAAAATAAGAAATAAAATAAATAGTAAATTAATTAAATCAGATAAATTAAATAAATAATAAAAGCAAAGCTGTAAAAAATTTTTTGTAATTGTGACATATTTTTGCATATTTATCAAAAATAATTTTTCATATTTAATATTATTTATCAAAATAAATTCTCTTTTTTATTGTAACAAAATTTTTTAAATTTAATCTACTTTTAAAATAATTTTACAATAGACAATATTCTTTAGAAAAAAAGACAATATTTTAGTAAATATTAATGATTTGTAAATTTTAGTCACAGTACACGATAGCTTGCTTGCAGTGATTAAAAAAATATATAAACATATTTTTTTCTATTTTCGTGTTACGTTTTTTTTGTAAAAAGAAAGAAAAGGAGATTAAAAAGAGAAAAATTTACAAATCAGTAGAAGAATTCCTGCAGCATAAAGCAGCGCAGTTTGTAGCCGAAGATACCCAAAGAGATACCAAACCATTTCAATCGCATCGCAGGAATCGTAGACAAGTTCGGCCATAAAGAGACTCATAAGGGGCCAACTAAATTTTGGCTGTTTCTGCAAAATGCGTAATAATTAAAATAAAATAAATATAAAAGAGTAATATACAAAATATATAAATATATAAAGTAAATATATGTAAATATACATATATAAAATCAAAATTTGAGAAGAATAAATAGACATCAAAAATTATTATTATATTATTTACCAAAATAATGGAATAGATAAGCATGCCAGTTGCAATAGCGGATATTATGGAGTGCGAAAGAGAATAGCCCAAACTAAAGGTCATGATCGTTTTTCTCGAAGAAAGACCATGAAGGATCTGACCATTCTCCAAAACACTATATTGCATTGGTCCGTGATAACACAAGAATAATATTAGTAAGGCTAACAACATTCCTCTGACTATCTTGAAAATTTCACTGTCAAAGAACGTCTTCTTTTCAATCTTTCCGATCATTTGAGAATTGTCAAAATGATTCTTAAACATATGTGGTGATGTTTTAGACTCAATCATCTGCGAAAGAAAAAATATGTGAAAATTGAAAAAAATTGTATGAAGATAAAATAAGAATTCAAAATTTTAATAAATAAGTATGGCAATTTTTATATTCTTATTTATAATAATGTATTTTTGCGTGTATACATCTATCTAAATTCTAAATATTTATATGCAAATTTGGTTATTTATATATTACTCTATAAACAGATAAAATTTTATTTTATTTATAAGTTTGCAAATTTTTCATATATGTACATGTACTTATTTTTAATCACTTTATTTTTAATCTTAGCATGCATGTTTGCATCTTTCTTAGGAGCATATTAATTAAAAGAAGGGAATAAATCTTATATTAAGTAATGTATATTAATATATTAAATTTAATTTACAAATATTGCAAAATACCGTTTTTGCCTGATGACTGCACATTTTCGTTTTTTCTGAATAATCTTCGTTATTGTTGCGAATACGACTTGACACATGACTCATCATGACTGATAAATGGTAATAAATTTTTTAAAACGGATGATCTATAACTTTAACATAAAAAATATATATTTGTATGTATTTTTGTATGTATTAATATGTATGTGTAAATTTTAAATTATTATTTTATATAAATATAAATGCCACATAAATTATATATATATACATAAGAAGAGAAAACAAGTACTTTTTCAAACATATATGACTCATAAATTTACAAAATAAGCAACACGAAAAAGATTGTAGACACAGAAAAATATTAAATAGAAAGAGAAACCAAATAATGAAAATAATATAATTCAGATAAAGCGAAAAACTATAATTACACACAACTATTTTGCAATAACAGCAAAACTCGCTCACTTCATATTATTGATTTATGATTTCACATAACTCGATACAGCGTGTCTATATATTTAAACTTTATAAGGTTGGAAAATAAATGTTAATCATACATTTATAATTTGTTTAAATAATAAATAACTATAAATATTTTATTTTACAACATAACAGGTCACAATTTATTTATTCATAATAAATGTTAATAAAAGAAATGTGTTATTTAAAAATTTTCTACATTATATATATTACAAATACATATATATTACAAATATCTTATCAAATTAAGTTGATTTACAATCAATTGGCGTTAGTCAAATTGCGATCAATCGAAAGATAACAATAAACCATATGCTATATATACATATTCTTATATCTATGCAATAAGCAAACCTCGAAAATTTGCGGAGACATATTGCGAGTACAATGAAAAAATCTATTAATCGAATTGCTTAGTACATTTGTATATTTGAAATGAAAATATTATTAAACAAATTGCTTAATAATTTGTATTTGGAAAAAAATGCGATTTTTCCAGACGAAGAATTGGGACATGAAGCGAATAATGACTTTCCGTGATCGACGAAATATTAAAATCCATAGTGGACAATTTGTAATTAAATATTTATTGCAGTTAATTAATTATGACTTAAATATATATATATATATATATATAATATAAAATATATATTTATTTTTATAAAAAAATAATTTAATCATTCAGAGATTTTCGATTTCTATATGTTCTAATATGTCATTTAAGTATTATTATTTTAATATTATTTTAGTTATTAACAAATTAATATAGTTAAAAAGATTAAGAAAGAAAGTATACAGATAGAAAAATATAATGATTTATAAACAAAATATATACTTTCTTAAGAATATTTGTATATACTTTTATATTTTGCAGAAAATTGGTCGAATAGCTTGTTCGTTGTGCGATCATTATGTCATGGGCAGTTCGTTATATGTAATCGTTTTAGGCCTCATTGGGACCGTTAGTCTATCGTAATACTCTCAATACGTTAATTTAATTATTCATCTGTGTCAAATAAAGAATAAATATTTAAATGCACTATTAAAAATTTCGTCAGGTAATCACGGCTCTTGATATAATACGCACAATAAATTATAAGAGTCGCAGAACATCGCGCCATAGACTTAATCAAGAAGGTAATAATCTATTTCACGTTTTACATTTTAATAGATTTTTTTAAATTGTTACATAATTAATTAGATATTAAAATGATAATTGCAGTGCCCTTTACCGTTGAGAGAGACTTGAAGTTGATGACATCGATATTGGGAATCGAACATTATACATTAATTATGTTAGGAGCCATCACGGTAAGTATAAAAGATTAAAAATAATATAATTACCCAGATAGCCACAGTAATTATTATGACATCATTTTGACATCAAAATAATGTCATAATAATTACTGTGGCTATCTGGATAATAAACTAATTCAAAGACTTTTTGAATGAATTAAATAGCTCTATTTCTTCCATAAATATATATAACTTTGCTTTAGCAGGAATATCCTATGCTATATACACCTTGGTTATTGATGCAACTTTGCGTTATCATCGTGGAGATCATTGTTTTTTTCGTGAGATTCTTTCTGGATGGTTTGCATATAAAACGCAACGAATTATTGCAAGCGATATTTACTTTATATAACTGGTTGCAAGTCTTCTGTCTTTTTCATCGACAAACACGAGCCATGTAATGACTTGCTCTTTTTTATGCTAAATTAAATTATTACATATTTATATTATTTTGATTACAAGATGTGTTTTTATGTAACAATGTAATATTTTTATGCGTCTTTGAGCAATTTTTATTTAAATAAATTAAAATTTAGTTTTCAAATATAAATTAGATTGATATTTTAAATATAAATTAGATTGATATTCTCAAATTTAAAATATGATATGTTAATTTATAACAGTATCCTTTTTTTATAAAAGGCATGTTAATTCGATTCTCGAATGTATCGATTTTTATCTCCAAAGTTTCGAAATGTATTGTTGCCTTTTTTCGCCATGCCGATTGGTTTTGATTATTGATTGCTATATTAATATAGAGTAACAATTTTCTTATAAATACTAAATTTATATAGCATATATATACATATATATTATTTTATTTAATCTAACCGAATATAATTACGCACGCAAAGCGAAGTTATACCTATTATTCTTTGATAATAAAATCTCAAAAATTGCGACGCATGCATACAAAAATTATTATTGCAATTGTTGCTATAAGAATATTTAAATTAGAAAATACTATTCGTTATTTTATAATCCAAATTAAATTTTTAAAATTATTTATATATTATAAAATAGAAAAATTATTTATTCTATCTATTTAAAAAATATGAAATGAAAAAAAATAAAAAAATTTTCAGAGAAAATATATTTTAATTAAACTATATTTTTTGTTTTTTTTACAATTCAGTTCTTAAAAAGAGGCAAAGATATAGTTTAATCGGAGGTTAAATTTAATCGACGTTGGTAGAAACAGGTCTAAACTGAATATATATTGTGTAAAAAAACTTTATAATTATTTAAATGCTTAAGTGCAGAGCACTAAACATTTTTTTATATTTTCTGGTTGGGAATTACTGCAGTCTCTTTTTTTCAATTAACTAATATTAAAAACTAATATTAAGAAAAATAAAACTAACCCGAGGAAAAATAATACTAGTATTAGGAAAAATAAAACTAATATTAGGAAAAATAATATTAATATTAGCAATAATAATACTAACATGAGGAAATAAATACTAATATTAGGAAAAATAAAATTAATATTAGAGAAAAAATGAAACTAATATTATGAAAAATAAAACTAATATTGGAAAATAAAACTAATATTAGAAAAAAATAATAATTAGGAAAAATGTATTTTTGGCAAGTTCTAAAGTATTAAAAGTTAATACAAAATTGAGAAATGGTGCGTTGTTCTAGTCAGATTATAAAATTGAAATTAAAACTTCTAGGCATGTTTTTATTTACTTAATTTAATTATTTTTATGATTTTATTATTTTATATATTGATTTATATTATTATATATTGGTTTATATCCATACATATGTGTATATATATATATATATATATAGATATTTTTATTTCTATTTCATTTTATTTTATCTTACAATTTACAGAGAATACTTAACAGAGTCATTTGGTTGATTCTTTTCTATATTTTTAAAATTATCCTTCCCTTATTCTAAGTTAATTCTTTTTAAACTTAAGTAATAATATCGATAAGCTCATGAAGATGCTGATCCAAATGAGGGTGGCAGTAAAACCATAATATACCGTAGGTTCCGATATCGACCAACCTCTGGTTAGCATTGATCTCAAAGATTCTGTACTTTTTGTCAGAGGTAATAGAAAACTAATATACTTTAAAAAAGGATGTATGCCTTCTATAGGCCAGACGATACCGCACAACATCACAATTGGAAGAAAAGAACCCATAGCCAGATATGTAGCGCTTCTTTCGTTATCGCAGAAACAGGCGATGACAAATCCTAAAAATTGAATTGTGTTTTTGGAAAATATTTCTATATTTTTAGATAAAAAATGTCAAAAAAATATATATACACATTACATACATATATGTATAATTGAAAAGAAAAACGACATTTTCCAATTTTTCATACGTTTTCGCAATTTTTTTAAACAAGTTATTTAAAAAATCACAAACATTTCGCAAAACTTGAAACATATTTTGCAAAAAATTTGTATAGCTCAAATGTAATGCATATAATCATTACATATATTATACATAAATTGATCATTAGAAAACGTTTACTTTATAAAAGAACGATTTAAAAAAATTTTTTAAATATTTTATGCGTGTGATATTTCATATACTTGTCTGTACGCTCCAATATAAAAATAATAGTCAATGACTCACCAAAACACATGCCGCAAAGGCCTGTGAGAACAATCAAGAGAGTGATCCAGCCTATGTCACCTTCGCAAGTGATATTGAAGATGCCGAATGCGACTACAAGAACCATCACGCTTTGTCCGAACATCACTGCGAATTCCGTGATTAGGTGACCGAAGAAAATCTCCGTACTAGTGAGACCTGAATAAATTATATAAAATTATAATTAATTATGATAATTACAAAATTTATGAATCCGATTTTTATTTTTTATTTTTTTGCCTACATGTTCTAATTGTAAGATTAACATGCCTTTTTTTAGAAAGGCATGCTTATTAACGCACCTATTACAAGACCTCTTTCCAGTAAACCTTCATTTCTTTCCAATAACATGGCGCCCGACGTCAATGCGACTGAGAGAAAGTAGATAATTCTGAAAGAATTACAAAATTTTATTTAACCTGCCCTTTAAATCACTAAAAAAAGTCTAGAAAAAAGAATATTTATTTTAACACATGTTATTATACTATTACATTAATGCAAGTACTTACGTTAAAATTATTCCAGGAGCTGCGAAATCCGTAAAGTTGGGCTCCGCAGGTCCATAAATTGGCGTATTAAACTGATATAACGACAGAGATAAATTATTGTCAACAATAATTTAAAACATTATAAAATATGAAAAGAAGATAACACCAATATATTATAATATCATAAGTTTAACAAATAAAAATAGATATCTGCATAATTATTCTCTTACTTGCACAGGTATGCTCGTCAACTTCGCGCTATAGTTGCAAGCCACAGTAAGCTCTTTTGCAAAGTCTTGAAACGCGTAAATCAGATCTCTTTGCAACAATTGTCCTATTTGTTGATCTATGTAAAAATATGTCGCGTATTAAAAAGTGTATGTGTCTCGATGTTAGATTATCGGAAAAAAATTGATTTACAACAACAAGGAATATTATTAATATAAGTATGCTGTCTTCTAAGCTGGGCAATAGAGCCAAGGAAACGAAACGAAAAATTAATTAAACGGAACTGTATCTCAATTTGAGATCCCAAAGTTCCACATATAAATTAATTTCGAAACTTACATATGGAGAAATAAGCGAGAAAAATATAGGTCCGAAAAGTCGCTGAAGCGGGAATATTATATACAAGGATTTAACGTTCGGAGACTTACTGGACATGTCCATGACGACTTTCAACTCTCCAAATTCGACGTCCCAGTCCGTGGTACTTCTGCCGTAATCTATCCTTGCCCTAAGACAGTCGGAATAATTTGATGGAAACGTTATAGCACCCCATGCCCAGCCATGTCCCACTGCATATTCGGCTTCTTCGTCGCTGTCGTATGGTAAGAAACGTATGGTCTTCTTCTGCAGATACTGAAGATAACGACAACTCAGTAACGACCAATCGCATCCGGTTGTGGGAACACAAGGTTGCATGCTGCTGTTGAGTTCGTTGTTAACGATGGCTAGATTTAGACCTACGGGATCCTTACCGATGGAAAGACAGAAGAGGATTATCTGGGCGACCGGCAGTGCAATGATGAACAACATTATTCTGCGAAAAAAAAGCGTAAATGAGAGTGGAAATAAGTATTGCATTTGAAAAATAATAAACAAGAGATAAAAATGGATTTAATGTAAAAAAATGTAATAGAAAATTACGCGACATTTCGCCACATCCACAAGACGTTCTTCCAAAGAAGTGCCTTCATATGCATCGGATCGAGCATAGTAAATTTAGAGGAACCTTCTTCATCCGGCGGCAATCCTTCCACCTATTAGGAAAAAAATAAGGCGGAAATAAATGGCAATTGTTTTGCATAGAAAGAGCGGAAGAGTTTTTAATCATTTAAAAAAAATAAATTTTTCCAGATAGCAAAATAATATTATTATATATATAAAAAAATTGCTACTCTATTATAATTATTAAAAATAATTATTTTTGCAATTATTTTAAATTACATAAAAATGGAGAGAGTGTGTATTATTTCTTCTCTTTTTCTTTATTTAGAAATTATTTTTCTATTATAGAAATTATTACATTGTCATCTGCCGAACGTCTGACTATACTTTTCCTTCGACTAGATATGCTCACGTTGTCGCCGAATTCACCACTCATCTCGTCCACGTCCTATGAAAAAGAGGAAAAATTTAGGTAATAAAATATCTATTTTATTTTAATAAAATACATACAATAAATATGTATATCACAAAAATATATAGATGCGCGAATGCCAAATAATTACAATCAAAACGCGTCAAAATTTTTTCCCATTTATACTTACTTCTTCGGGCGGAAGGCCCGTTAAATTGCTTAGAATACTGCTTCTTCTCCTTAATCCTAAATTCTGTCTCTTACTCAGTTTCAAGAAAACCTCTTCCAAAGTCTCTAATCCGTGCATCTCCATTAATTTCGTCGGTGATTCCTCCGCCAAAAATTTGCCGCTTCTCATCAAGCCAATCATACCAGCTTGCCTATGGAGGATTTAACAATTATCAGTAATTTTCTGAATTATTTAATAGAAAAAAAACATGTATTATTCATTAATATTGTATTATTCATTAATATTGTATTATTCATTAGTATTGTATTATTCATTAATAATGTATTATCATTATTATTGACGCATTATGTACATTTTATAATATATGTATAGCAAATAACTTTATATATTTGCAGACACTTGAATAAATACATTTTAATTCACAAACTAATTGACTTTGGGAAAAGAGAATAAATAAATATAACGTTTTTCTTACTTTAATTCAAGCACAGAGCATACGCGCTGTATACAATTAGTAGTCAAAAACACGGTAAAAATTTTTAATATTATGTATTTGATATACATCTATTTAATCTCAAAAAGACGATATTAATATTATAAAATATTATATAAAAATATAAGTGATTATTTTATAACTTGCCTGGTCTCCTCGATGTAATGCGTGGTGATAATAATGGTCTTGTTACCATCTTTGGTTATATGCACCAAGTGGTCCCAAATACTCTGTCGGAGAATAGGGTCCACTCCAACCGTTGGTTCATCCAAAATCAAGAGCTCTGGATCGGCTAAAAGGGCAGTAGCGAAGGATACCCTTCTTTGCTGACCACCAGATAGATTTTTGACAACACGATTCGCCGAAGGCAATTGTAAAAGCTACAATTAAAGTGTAAATTTTATTGAGAGTCAATATTGTAAGATGATACAAATATTTATAATAAAATAACAAAGAAAGTTAAAAAAATTTATGTGTATAAGAAAATATCACATATTATTGAGAGGATTTTATTTTTATTGATGAATAAAAATTTGGAGTAATTAGATATTTTTTAAATTATTTTCCTAAGTTTAAATCTCTTGAAGATTTTGCCCTTTCGTGATTTAGGTATTTTACCTTTATAAGAAATTCCAGCTTATCGTCCACTTGATCTGTCGTCATGCCAGCGCACCAGCCAAAATAAATAAAAGTTTCTCGAATGGAGAATTCGCCATAAAGTGCGATTTCCTGTGGCATGTAACCGACTCGAGGACCGGGTACACCGGATCCTTTAGAGCCTGGTCGGCCTCCTAGCACCCAAATTTCACCGGAATTCAAGCGTCTCCGGCCGACGATGCATGACAATAAAGTGGTTTTCCCGCAACCACTTGCACCAAGTAATCCATAACTGAATAAGAAAATATATTGCAATTGTAACAAAGAAATATTATAATAAATAATAATTATTGCATACAATTTTACTACATATTTAATATTTACTACATATTGTATAAATATTGATATAACGTAACAACTATATATACATTCCATTATAGTTAATAACAAAATTATATAATATATTATATGTATAAAATATTGACATTATATATGTATATATCGACATTTGTTCATATATCATTATCATATTTATAATATAATATATTGGAAGTTGTGCAAATTTATGTCAGTTTGGTCGGAGAAAAATAATATAAAATTTATATATGCTTAATTATATTGGCTAAAAAATTTTACGTAAATGTCACAAAAAATGTCAATGATTGATAAATTAACATAATAACAAGCTGAATATATTACAAATTTTTAATATTTAGCTTGTTATTATCAATTTGTTAGTTTCCTTTTTTTGCGACAAAAAATTTTAAATTTATTGACGTATTATAAATATGATAATAATGTAACGAAATAAATAGTTGCTAATACATTACTAGAATTTCTCTTAAATAATTATGTATATGTACTTTTCAGTAAAAAAAGACAAAGATGAATTCTTATACTAATATGTTCTTTTCGTCGCAGCATGGAATTTAAAAATTGTTTCTTGAATGCTTATTTGTGACATCAAAAGATATATTATACATCGTGTGAATAGATTTTTTCTATTTATCTTTTCATTTTTTTCTCTTTCATAAAAAACATATTGTAGAAATAATATCAAAAATATTATTACAGAAATTATATTATTATGTATAAAAAATTATATGATTGAAATTTTGGTTAAAAAGTTTTAATGTCGAGTAGTTTCATTAGTTTTTCCATAATTTAATAAGTATATATATATATATATATATATTGTATATTCCTGATCCTTTTAATTTTTTTCCTACAAAATTAACATTTTTTATTCTACTCTTTTGATATTTAAATTTAAAAAACATTTCTAAATATCCAAGACTTTTATGTTTTTAAAAGTCTTAGCAGAAGATAAGAACAAATGATACATATTTAACTTCTCCTTTTATTTTTTTACTAATATTAAAAAAAAATGTAAATGCAATTGTCTAATCAGAAATGGACGGAATCGGTTTGTTTAAATCAATATTAAAATTAAATTATTTCTTTTTGTATTAATGTTGCAGGAGGATCACTTACATCGTACCCTTCGGCACGGTCATGTTGAGACCATCTAGAATGATGTTAGGGTTGTTCTTCGACCCATATTTCTTGAAGGCACGTCTGACACAAACCGCTTGCTTTCTTCTTGTATCCAAGGTTGATTGTTGTGGCCGGAATTGCGTTCTTCGTGTTTTTAACTCCATCACCGTGCTCGGTACGGTCGCACTCTCCATCTCTTTAAATTTACAAACAGGTATATATGTAATCATATGTATTTTTATTGCACTTCATTAATCATCCCGATTAAACCAGCTGTTTGTTTTTTTTTTAATTCTGGATTGATAGGCTACACTTTTTTCTCTGCTGACACGCTCGTGACATTTTCATGCAATCAATCTTTCATATTTTTTCAATTATTGAAAATGATAAATTAAACACGACGTGATCGACTTGAAGCCTACTCGTGAGAATTCAAAATCTCTCTTTTCTTTTTTCTCTTTCTGGTCCAGTTATATAAATGATAGTATCTGTTACGATGTTACATCATTGGCAACTTATGATTTATCGTTGACTGAACATAGTATCCCGTTGTTGAATAATAAAAAATTAATTTGATCATTAATAAACTGAATATACGATTAACACATACACACACATCATTCATTCATTCATCATTTCGTCAATTTACTATTAAAATTACTTATGTTCAAAAGAGGTGAGATTAGTTTCAATGTTGCTTAAACATTTACCTTTTGTTCAGTCAATGAATTATCTTACAAAAATAAATAATCATCTCAATATTTAACATATATATCAGTGATCAAATAGTCTTAAGTGATACGAGTGACATCATTAGAGACAAAAGTCAATATGTTTAAAAATTGTTTAATTTTTTTATTTTATTAAAAGACAAATATTTAAGAGAGACAGTGTCGGGATTTTTTTTTGCGCTTTAAACAAGCTAATATTTTTTGTTTTTTAGAAATTGCGATTTTGTAGAAATTGATGACTCGATCAAATTCTTAATCTGTTAAGAAATATGTTACATCACGTTTACCATTGTTGCCAATTAAGTGTGCCAATTATTAATTAATGTAAAGGAGTTTTTCAGGAGTTTTAATGTGAAATTTTATTTTCTTTGTGTTAATTGTCTTCATTTTATTCGCGGTGCATTGTATGTGATATGATATTTATTAATAAAATATAATATAAAAAATTTTCTAAATTTACTTTAAATGTATATATTTATATTGCTCTATTTAATTTTACTTTTTTTGAAGGAGAGAAAGAGAGAGATTTTACTTTTAAAATAATAATTATTGCTTCCCATTTACATCAAAACTCAGATAAAGCTCACTTTTGTTTTTCTTCAACATCTATGTTAAAGAAAGACAAAAGTGAGATTTATCTGAACTTTGATGTAAATGGAATGCAACAATTATTACAACAATATAATTAAAATATTCTATTGCATCTGCTCATACATTGAACAATAAGTTAATATTTTTATTCAGCGCGATACGATAAAATATTTCAAGTTTTTATTTTTCGAAAGTAGAAATAATCGGAGTCATTGTGACTCGAATAATCTTTAATAGAACTCAATAGACTCCGAGAGATTTCATAGTACCTGTGCGCTGAGAATTCATCGCAAAACTCGCGCATCGCAACAATAAGTATGCAACCAAGATAGGTATATGAACAATTTAACTTACGAAACCCGCATTAATGTATTATTACATCAAACTAACCGAAAAATGTAAGCGATGAGTAAGCTACATGCTACGCAACGCAGCTGCTTTCACGTAATTTGTTCATTTCTTTTTGCGCGCGCGCGCGAGAGAGATATATGTATTACGAAAGAGCAGACCAACGAAGAGAGACCGGCTAAGGTTACGTCTGATCGCTTTCCTTTCTTTCAACTCTCCGTGGCGGTTTCTTTCCGATGAACTTGCTTACATTGCAGACATACGCAATCACTGATCGAAGGAGTATATACGTCAGTATTGCGGGAAATACCTTGTCTCGAATTATTGAATTTGAATTAATTATGAAGGAGAATATGAAATAATTATCGATATACAAATAATTCAAGCTTTGCTCCTATTATATAGGAATTATTTTTGAAATTAAGTTAAAAAAATTAACATTTTTTTACATTATTAAAAATTCAATGACAAATGTTTTAGATTGTGAGTTTTTAAATAAAACTCTAAATGTGTATTAAAATTTTTGACTAATGGTATATAAGTCAAAGGAAAATTGTCGATGCGATAAAAAACTCTACATAATTGTACTCGACATGTCAACAAATGTAACAAATCCGTTTTATTCATTTTATAACGTCACAAATCACTAAAATTACAATGCAAATCTGTTATTTATTTATTTATTTGTTTATAGATGTTATAGAGTTCTTATAGTATCAAATTTAAAAATAACACAATTAAAGATTATAATTATTTATTATAATTTTTAATTGTATTATTTCTAAATTTTATTTCTAAATTTGATATTAAGAACTATCTTTAAATAAGTAAATTAATAAATAATAGATTTGCACTTTTTTTATCAGTGACTTTGTGACGTTATAAAATGAACGTAAGACGTATATAAAATGAATAAAACGGATTCGTTACATTTGCTGACATGTCGAGTGCAATTATGTAGAGTCTTTTTATTGTATCGACAATTTTCTTTTGACTGACTTATGCCATTACAAAACAAAAAAATAACTGGCAGTCAATGATGCTGGCGCAATCGTCAATGATCGTTATCGCAAGGATAATGTCAATGTCGATCGAAAAAGACACAATAATGGTTTTAGAATATAATATTATACGACTAATATTTTTATTTGTACGTTTATATATATACATATACGTAACAGTAATTTTCATATACAATATATGAGATAAATTTTTTATGATTATTATATATATATATATATATATATATATAAATATATAACTAAATAATTAAATTATAACGTATATAATATACTTAAAAATATAAAATATAATGTAATTAAAAACACACACACACACACACACACACACACACATACATACATACATATATATATATATATATATATATATATAACTTATCTCTTTTTCAGAAAAATGAATCATTAATATATTCAATGTGCAATGACATTCCATGTACAATGATTCATTAAGATTTACAATTTATGGCTACACTAACCTGGAGGATTTTATAATGACAATAATTATGATGCCTTCGACTTTTCTGCACACAAGGTCTCTTAGAAATAAGATCAATGCGAGATCAACTCTTCAGCGAGCACCTTTAATAATTTTTTTCTTTTTTGTTAATTCATTCTCTTTGTTCGTTTTCCACTCGTTTGACTTCTCGAACTTCTTGATATTCTTCTTGATAAGTATTCATAGATATTCTTCAGAAATGTTTTTCAGCAGCTATTATGTTATTTAGTCTATTTGTTTCCTTTTTTAGAACATATATCTTCTTAATTGATATCTTTTCGGATTATTCAAATAACTTTAGAAATTATTTTATATACAAGCAATCTTTATTCTCTTTGTTTCCAATCGTATTGACTAATTATTTTACGTGTAATTTATTTTTTGCTAATTTTTTTATTTGCTCTGTTGTTGCGCAAAACCAGTTTTCGAGACAATTATAGATGCTCATTGATGACTTTTATGTTTGTTATTTAATAATTACGATATATCTTTAGCTTTTGCTTCTTGTTAAAATGTATATTTCATTTCTAGTATAACATTTTATCAGGATTAATTTCAGTTCAGACAAAGAGTAATAAAAATTTTAAATATTAAAAAAAAATTGGATGGGGTATTGTTAATTTTAGAAAATTCAAAGTAGAAAGATTTAAATTTACAGACTGAATTGTTATTACGTCTTATCTGCCAGTTAAGAATGGTGAGATTCTTTGAGATTCTTATTGACTTTTGCATCATAAGGTCCAAAGTTCACTATTGTAATTGAGAAGATCTTATTTTTGAAACATTCTTTTACAAATTAAATTAGTAGATCAATTAAGTTCTTATAAATTTCTAAATTAATTAGAACGAAAACAAATGATAAATAATAAAAATGTTAAAGTATGAGATTTAAAAACAATCTATTTTTGAAAATTATTGCGAAAATATGTTTTATTTAAAATAATGTGGTAAAGAATGCAAAACAATCCTTCAATAGCACTTTAAATTTCAAAGATATGAGTAATAATCTTGCACAATTTCTTATAAATCTTGAAGTAGCCTTGAATGATAAAAAATAAGTATGTAAATTATAAAAGTTATATCTATTCAAAGATCAAATTCCAAAGTTTATGAAAGTCTTTTAAAAGAGCAAAAATTCAAATTATTACATTATTTTAATGCAAAAATTACGCATTAATTAAATCTTTCAAATGTCAAGCTTCTTTAGATTTTTCTTCAAAACCATATCAAAATTAATTAGAAGACAAAAAGTTTTTTCTTGAAGATTTTATCATTGACGAACATTAAAAATACTACATTTCAAATTTCAATTTTTTTTATCACAACATCAAAATTAAATCTCAAAGAATTTTAGTGTAAAAATCTTGTTAAAATCAAAATTTAACTTAAAGCTTTTTACTTTGAAAAATTCTCCGAGAAACACTTTTGCATTATCAAATCTCGATTTGAAATAATATATTACATATATAGCAAATCAATTGTCGCACAAAAAAATTGCACCAAGTAAGTTTCAAGATATTAAATTAACAAAGATCTATTTCTCTCTTTAAAATCACAGTTTGTTATTATTTTGAACGATATTTGTAATACACACTCCAACATAAAAATATAAATATCGATTAATACCATTAATATCAGAAATTCAATTTAAATATTTGAAAAGATTTTGACAAAAGCACTTTTTGGGAAACTTAAAGTTTCACTCACAAAACCGTATTAAAAAGAACTAATTCTAAAAGACCCTTCCGAATGACGTAAAGACACTGTGTAAAGACTCGATCACGATCGCGAGATTCAGTTTGTTTCACCTACTTATCTCGTCAAGAAACTGACTGGCGGAAGATCGAATTCGAGAGCGCGACTAGTAAAACCCAGAGGCCGTATGAGAGTAGAAGTGGTCGCCTGACCGCGACGAGACTCGGAGAGAACTGGCTTTGCTTGGCCCAGTCAGACTTCGCGGACACATGCTGTTTGTGCAATCGTTCTTTTGGAGCAAAACAGTTTCTCTTAGAGGGGCAAGCTTGAACGCTGCTTCAATGTTGTCTAAACGAATCTTGGATTACTCCGAGAATATCCAAACAATACGTGTCCGAGCCAACATAACTTTTAATTATAGACTGATAAGAAATTCATTTAGAGAAAGATATTATCAGATGATCGAGATGATCGTGATGATTCAGGCATCAAAAATGTTAAACAAAATATTGTAGAATGTTAAAAAATACTTCTTGAGGAACAAAGAAAATTTGCTGCAATTATTGCATATAGTGAATGCGTTTTGCTACTTTATATACTATATTATTCAAGATAATTTTTCTGTGTTATATTAAAGGAGAAATGATTCGAAACCGGTTTTCTGTCTACATTGAAAAAATTGAACAAAAGAGTTTTTGTTCTTATTAAAAATTACCTTTTTTTTAAGCAACAAGAAAATTACGAATAATATGACGTACTTAAAAAAAAAAGAAGTGAATAATTATACTGATATCGTACAGTTTTTACAATAATATTAGAACTGAAACTATTGTATATTTCGTATATGCAACGATGCAATGGTAGAATAAATAATATTTGTAGAGAATAAAAAGTACTAAAAAATTTTAAATTGAATATATTAATACCTTAACAACTTCTTGTTGATTCAGGTTATAAAATCGAGAAAGACGGAAAAAACTGATTATGTTATATGTTCAAAATGTCGATCTTTTCCTCAAGTTTTTTATATACTTTGTATTTTATGTTAAAAAATTCTAAAAAAATAATATATTTATTTAACAAATATTTTATAATTTCATATTACAATTTTCTCAATCTAGAATATAAAGTATTATTTCTACTAACTAAGTTTTCTACTAACAGTCAACATCTATTTATTTCGGGCTGACTTCTGTCAGTTATACATTGTTCATCAAAACAATGGTTAATTTTGTCGGGGGTTTGCTGTAAATATGATTTATTGTATTAATCTGGTATGTAAACATATATATTTTTGTAAATTTATAATTATTTGTATGATTAAGCGCATTAAGATTATATTTATATGTATATAATTGTTTATGGATTACTTGAAAAGGGCTGCAATGACAGCCGAAACGTTGTAAATTAAACTAATTATTTAAAATAAATTATTGCCAGTCTGGTCGACTTTAAAATTGGAGGAGAGATTTTCATTATTTATTACTGGCGACTCTTAAGGATTATCATTTATAAAGTATTATAACAATATTATATAATTTGACATTATATCATTTATTACATAAATAAAATATAACATGCTATTTATTAAGGTAAATTATGAGACAGTATAATATAGCTTGCTTGAAAATTTAAATGCTCGATATATAGAATATTTATAATTTACAACTAAAAAAATCTAATATAATATATATATATATATATATATATATAAATGAAAAAAATATCTGCACTCAAATGAAAAAACTTATTTACATGCGATATGCGCATTATAAGGAATATTTATCATAAATTCTATTAAATCAAAAATCCTATTAAACCAATTAATTCAAGATAAAAAATTGATTTGTAAGTTGCTTTCAATTCATTTAATTTTTTTTATGCCAGTTATGTAATTGCACAGCTTTTCACGATGAGTTTTTAATTTTTTTTTTTTAATTTTATTGAGATAAATATATATATATATATATATATATATATATATTTATCTCAATAAAAATTAAAAAAAAAATTAAAAAACTCATCGTGAAAAGCTGTGCATATATAGTGTGTATATATATATATATATATAGAGCCAAACGCGATGTTATTGCGTCAGATTAAGATAAGAAAATTTGGAAACTAAGGAATTTGAATCCTATGGTTGGGATCTCAAAAATTCCCCTTGTTCCTTCTCCTAACATCCCCTGTAAAGAATTAGACGAGAAAAATATTGGTCCGAATAATTTTATTTAAAAAAAAATAATTAATATTAATATTTATATTATTTTTATCATAAATAAAGATAAAATATTTTTAAATGTATCTTAAATTAGAAATAATAATTATAAATGACAAATATAATTATTAAGAATAATAACAATTAGAATAATAACAAAATTGTTGATTAATTAATGAATAAAACAAAAAAAGTAACGCTCAATGTTTTTCTTACAATACCGAATGCGTGTGAAATTCGATTAGAAATCGGAATTACGCTCTGGCAACCTTTATTGCGATGTTCATCAATGATAAGCAATACACGTGTATCGGTGCGCGTTTATAAAATTGCATCTATTTTCAATGCAAAAGTTCAAACAAAATAATGAATAACGTAGTATAACATCATAAAAATGTATAAAAAGTATAAAATTTATAGAAATATATAAAAAAATATGAATATATATACTTATAGCAAAAGGCAGTATACTTCAATAATTTTTCTTTATTTACTGATGAAAATATATTATAGTTACATGTGGATGTTGAATACGTCAAGGCAATCCTCTTTTTTTAGAGCTCTGTTGTTAGCAATTTTTTTTGAATAATTATGGTAATGATAACATTGAAGAAAGCACTAAAATGATTTTATGAATTTTTTTTTATAGCTCGTTTAATTCTGAAATTTGAAAATTAATGCTGTAAAATACATATAAAAACTGCATTATGTGCAGAGATACATATAGATAATCTCGATATAATTCCAATTTATGAAAATTATTATTTAAATTGTTATATAAAATATAGAATGGCTATTTCCACGATAACATAGTTATATGAGATTATTATAGAAATAATCAATATTTAATAAATATTACGCAATATAAAGATTATTTCTGAATTTTATATATATATATATATATATATATATATATATATAAATGTATGCATAAATGTATATAGAGTCATATTTATATATATACACAATATACACAGTGTATTTTTTATTTATTTTTATGACTATTATTTTCAAAAACTTTAGATAGCAATATCATATATTAAATATTAAATAGTAATATTATATATTTCAAAATTATATACTAAATTCTATATAATCTATATAAATTTATAAAATATTTATATAGATTATTTTATTAAAACAATATTCTTTATACAAAAATTAAATAATTATGTATTACATAACAGCAATTAAAAATCTTCTATACTTATTATTTGTAATTACGATGAGATTTTATTGTTAAGCTTTTGATATTATATGAAATATCTGTAATATTATTTTATTTAAAAATTTATTGAAATGGAAAAATTTATGAAAATAAAATAATTTTTAGTATATATTACTACGTATAAGACTAGTTGTATAATTCATTATTAATTATTCATTGAAGTGTTCTGTCTCTACAATACTTGAAGGTTAACTTAAGTCAGCCTGTATGCGAATTGCAAAGTACTCTATAAAAGAAATAATAACGAGTGACAAAATAAACAGTACATCGATATTTCCAGTTCACGCGACATAGCTTACATAGCTTCGTTCAATATTTGATAATATGTCTATATATACATGACGATAGATGCGCGTAGGTGAAATATACACAGGATTTATCGTGTAAATATACACAGTGTATTGGCTCACAAATCGTTTTTGATATATTGATATAATCCCATACAGCACCGTTAGATTGCAAAAATATTACAACAATCTTTCACCGCAATATTGCAATATTGCAAATTCACTGCAAAATGTTGCTACATCATTGATGTTAAATTGCAGCAATGTTAAAATGTCCGCTTTTTGGAAGATAATAAAATTATTGATTATCGTTAACATCTTTTATTGTACAATATTGCAAAAAATTATTTTATTACAGTATTATACCCAGCAAGTACCAAGTTATAGTTATATAATTGTTAGTTGTAATTTTCCACTCAACAATATAATTGTTATAATACACGTATTATTTTTGAGTGGAAAATTACAACTAACAATTATATAGCTGTAACTTGGTGTTTGCTGGGTATATATATATATATATGTATATATATTACAATATATAAATTATAGAATTTGGATTACATGCAATATTTCCGAAATATTAATGTCATGTTGCTACAAGTGTGCTGGAATTTTGTGCACCTATATCTTTGCAATGTCTTTATAATGTTGCATTGCAACTTGCAACATTGCAACGTTGCTGCAATATAATTGCAATAATCTGTGCTGTATGGGAATATATAATATATATAAATGTGTGACAATATGCAAGACAAGTTTCTTGACATATGATTGTAATCGGTGTCATATTTGAAGTTATGATACAAAATAGTATAAAAAATTAATTTTTATTTATATAATTTTCGGTAGATGTTACAAAGTTTTTTCTATCTTATAAAATACGTTGCTGTTTAAAATTAATAGTAAAATATAAAAAATAAAATATTATAATGTTTTAATCACAAACTGTTGAGTTAAAACAATTTAAATAAAAAAACAAGAAAAGAATTAGAAATTTTAAAATTTAGATTTTATTTAGATTTTATTCTTCTTTTTCTTCTATGCTATTGCATTATTTTTTCTGTAATTACATCAGCTATTTGTTGATATATAATTATATCCACACGCGCTACAGACATTATAATATGACGTGTATTACTGAGAATACTTGATGATCCTCAATGTTCAATTTACGAATTTTTTTTACAAAAAGTAATAAAAAAATAATTATCAGTAATAAACTATTATCAGTATAAATGCCAACAATAGGTCGAGGATCTATAATTTAAGATTTAATTACTAAAACAACATACTAAGATTAAAATAAATATTAAAACGTATATATATAGTTATTAAATATAAAACAATTCACATTTATAGATTTTTAACTTACGAAAAAATATAACATATATAATTTTAAAAATGTAGTAATATTTTTCTTCTTTTCTATAAAATAAACTTCATACACAATCTCACTTTATTAAATATAAAAAATACAAAAAGAAAAAGTTGAAAATCAAATCCATTC